GCCATTTTTTTCTTCTTCAACCATCTGATGTACTTGTAGCATTCCACGCCCACCTATTTGCCTTGGTAGATAAAGTCTATCAATGTCACTGCGTGGATGAAAGGCATGATTCATTGTCATTATTTTCTGGTCTGCCTATATCCCATTGGCTTCCTAATATTATTATTTTATTATTATAGATTCTCGGCACAGTCAGCCAGATGTTCAGACTGGATTTGGCCATTTTGTTTCTGACCTATTCAAGTCCTTACCCAGGGACCTGGGCATAGGCACGATGTGGAGTTTGATGGTATTACAGATATCGTCGCAGGATGGAAGCAGTTTCATAATAAGGTGCCTTTTGCATTGACTAATAGTGAATTTGTCAATGCCAATGGTGTTGTTCAAGTGGTGCTCCAGTTGTTTTGGGATTGCACCCAAGGAGCCTATGACTATTGGTACTACCCTTGCTTGCTTTTGCACAGTCTTTCTATTTCTATTTGTAGGTCTTTGTATTTTGTTATCTTCTCCAGTTCTTTCTCTTCTATTCTGCTCTCTCCAGGCACTGCCACGTCCACTATCCAGACTTTTTTGTCTTTCTTATCGACAATTGTTAAGTCTGGGGTGTTATGTTGCAGGTGATTGTCTGTTTGAATTCTGAAGTCCCAGAGCAGTTTAATTTTATCATTTTCTATGACTTTCTCTATTTTATGATCCCACCAGTTTTTGCTTACAGGCAAATGATATTTTTGGCAGATCTTCCAATGCACCATTGTTGCTACTTGGTCATGCCGCTGCTTGTAATCAGTCTGTGCAATCTTCTTGCAACAGCTTACCAAGTGGTCCACTGTTTTTTCAGCTTCTTTGCATAGGCGGCACTTACTGTCTGTTGCTGTCTTCTCAATTTTGACTTTGTATGCATTTGTCCTTAAGGCTTGGTCTTGTGCAGCCAGAATTAGTCCCTCGGTCTCTTTCTTCAATTTTCCTGCTCTTAGCCATTGCCAGGTTTTATTATTATCTGCTTTCCCAGCTATTTTTTTCATGTATTGGCCATGTAGTGCTTTGTCTCCCCATGCCTCTATTCTGTTCTTCATTTGGTCTTTCTTGTAGGCCAGTTTAGTCTCTCCAGTAGTTAGTAAGCCTTCCTGATATACTAATTTCAGTGCATCTTCATCATTGTTCTTCAGATATTCTTCCAAGCCATTTTTTCTTCTTCAACCATCTGATGTACTTGTAGCATTCCACGCCCACCTATTTGCCTTGGTAGATAAAGTCTATCAATGTCACTGCGTGGATGAAGGGCATGATTCATTGTCATTATTTTTCTGGTCTGCCTATCCATTGCTTTTAGTTCTGCTTGAGTCCAGTCCACTATTCCAGCTGTGTACCTAATGACTGGGATTGCCCAGGTGTTGATTGCCTTTATGGTATTTCCTCCATTGAGTTTGGATTTTAAGATCTTCTTCACTCTCTTGATGTATTCACCTCTAATCTTTTTCTTGACTTCAGTGTGCTTGATGTTGTCAGCTTGAAGGATACCCAAGTATTTGTAGTACTCTTCCTCATCCAGACTCTTAATGTTATTTTCGTGGGGCATCTTGATTCCTTCAGTTTTCATTATTTTTCCTTGTTTGATAGTAAGTGTGGCACATTTGTCCAAGCCAAACTCCATTACAATATCTTGGCTATATATACGGACAGTGTTGAGCAGCGATTCTATTTCAGATGATGTTTTTCCATACAGCTTCAGATCATCCATATAAAGGAGGTGGGATAGTCTGGCAGATGTTTTTGATGTTTGATAGCCATGTCCTGAGTTATTCAGTATTGTTGACAGAGGAAACAGTGCAATAACAAATAGTAATGGTGATAATGAATCTCCTTGAAATAGTCCTCTCTTGATATTAACCTCTCCCAGCTTTTCACCATTGATCTGCAACTGTGTCTTCCATTGTGCCATCGATTTTTGCACAAATTTTCTGATGTTTCTACTTACTCCTGTTATTTCTAGGCACTTGATTATCCAATCATGTGGCAGAGAGTCAAATGCCTTTTTGTAGTCAATCCATGCAACATTCAGGTTGGTCTTCCTTCTCTTGCAGTTTTCCAAGATCATTTTGTCTATTAGGAGTTGATCTTTTGTTCCTCTGCTATTGGGGCGGTTTCCTTTCTGCTCAGGTGGAAAGAGATTGTTTTCAACTAGATGCTGTTGTACTGCATCAGCTACCACACCAGTTAGTAATTTGAAAGTTGTTGGTAAGCAGTAATTGGCCTGTAGTTACCTGGTGTTGCCCCTTTTGCTGGATTTTTCATTATTAGGTAGGTTTTCCCAGTTGTTAGCCACTTTTCAATTTCTCCTCCTTGTAGTATATTGTTGAACTGTTTGGCAATGACTGGGTGTATAACAGTTAGATGTTTCAACCAAAACCCATGCAGTTCATCTTCACCTGGTGCTGACCAATTTTTGATTTTCTTTGCTCTTTTTTCTACCATTTTTGTTGTTATTACTAGTTCTTTCATTTCAACTTCTGTTTTATTTGCATCCACCTCTTTTAACCAAGCCGCATCCTTGTTGTATTTCTTTGGGTTATCCCATATCTGCTTCCAGAACTGCACTGTTTCTTCCTTGTCAGGTACTGACTGATTCCTTGCAGTTTCTCCATTGATGGATTGGTAGAAACGTTTCTGATTGGATTGAAATTGGAGGTTCTGCCTATAGTTTGCAATTCGAGCTTCATATCTACTGATTTTCCTGGCTATAGCTGTTATTTGTTGCTTTATTATTTCCAGTGCTTCCTTGATCTTCCTTGTTTCTAAGTGGTATTTCTTGATTAGGTATTCTTTGGTCTTCTTGTTCTTCAGCTTCTTTTCTTTCATCTGTTCTAGCTTGCTTGCATGTGATCTTAACTTGCTGATCTTATTTTCTAGTCTACCTTCCATTTTTCTGGTGCACTGTTTGTTTGTTTTTCTTCTTTGTTGATTTTGCATCCCAGGTATTCTGTTATAACTGCAGCTGTGCTGTACATTAGTTGGTTTGTTTCTTGCAATGAATTGGTGCTTATACTTGATATTGCAATATTTGCATCTTTTAATGCTTGTGCTAGCTGTTTCTTTGGAACAAGCTTCAATGCAGGTAGCCTTATTCTGTTGTTTTTGTGCTGTTCTAGATGCTCAGTTATTCTTTGTTTCAATTCTTTTATTTCTTTAGTTAGAGGGTTTTGTTCTTCCTGAGGTAGAGGTGCCTGGTTTCCAAATGAGAACAGTTGTATATCTCTGCTGGATTCCTTCACTGCCAACTCCCCCTGGTTTGCCTCTACATTCTGAATTACTTCTGGTAAGGCTTTGATTTCTTTGCCCTGGGTAAACCTTTGCAGTTCGTCCAATTCTGTTTCTGTGAATACTTTATTTCGTGTTATAAATCGGCGTTGATCTGCTAGTCTCTGTTCTGTTATTTCTGATTCTGGATGTTGTTCTTTCCAGAACTGGTGCATTCGTTTTAGATATCCTCTTCTTGTTGGACTTGATCTGTAGTAACAGATCATTATTTCTTTGTTTTCCATCACTGTGTATCTGCGACGGGTAAACACCTTTTCTTTCCAGTAGTTCTGCAGCTGCTGGCCCTGGTTGCTCAGCCAACAGTCCTGAGTCCTGTAACCCATTTTTCACCAGATATCCAGGAACTCCAATATCTAGCGCGGACCTTGTTAACCCGGGCGACGTCCAAGCCGGTATGGCATTCTGCAATTTACGTCTCACCATATTTTTTATGGGAGAGACACTCTTTGTCTGACTCCTCTGATGAGACCTGTCCAGTATGGTTGAACCTCTGGCATAGCTCTCATCTTCCTCAGAGTACACAAGCCCCACAACCACGTCAAGGTAGTGCCTCACTGGGGGATTATTATTATTATTATTATTATTATTATTATTATTATTATTATTATTATTATTATTATTATTCAGCCTGGAGGCTAAAAGACCGCAGCATGGCCTTCTCCAATTCGAAGAGACACTTGTGCGGCAGGCTGAGGCAAAGAGGCAGTCCCGGAACCAGCAAAATCTGGGGGGCTGGACAGGGGACAGATTGTATCTGCCCTCAGTGTGGAAGGGAGTGTCATTCTCGAATTGGCCTTTTTAGCCACACCAGATGCTGCCTTAGGTCCTCTTTCCAGAGCACGAGACTGAAGGATGCCAATCAATGAATAATAATAATAATAATAATAATAGGAACTGCTTCCATCCTGCAATGAGATCTGTAATACCATCAAACATCCACATCTGCCTATCCCAGGTCCTTGGGAAGGACTTGATAGGTAGACAAAAATGCCAAATCCAGTCTGAACATTTGGCTGACTATGCGATGATCCATAATAATAATAATAATAACAACAACGTTGAAAGGGACCTTGGAGGTCCTCTAGTCCAACCCCCTGCTCAGGCAGGAAACCCTATACTGTTTCAGACAAAGCACCTTGACTGAAGGGTCTCTGCGCAGTCACAGAGGCTGAAAAACTGTCCTGGGTCCAGCTAGCTGAAGCAGGACCCCTCCCCTCAAGACCCCTTATCTGCTTTTGAATCCACCCATCATTCCCCCATTGGCTGAACCCGACTGAGCTGAAGTAAGAGGAACAAATAAGTTTTATTTTAAAATACTAAACATTTACATTCTTTTCTTGTGGCAGAAACGCCTATTAGCGATGTTCGCCACTCGGAGTTACTTAATAAAGTTAATAAAGTTGGGATATAAAATTTGTGGGAGAGAAAGCCAGGTCACCGCAAGTCAGATGGCTTATAAATTTAATATATTATTTTGACCGAGTTGGCGTTTTTGTCTGCCCAGCGAGTCCTTCCCAAGGACTTGAGACGGGCAGCTGTAATGGTTTGATGGTGTCCAAGGTATCCTTGCAGGGTGTAACTGTTCCAAGTAAAGCTGCTTTTGTATCATCATCATCATCATCATCTCATCATCCAAACCCTGAGGAAAATGATAGCCCTGCCCCCCCTCCCCGTGTCAGGTGAAACAGAAGCGTTAATCACCTTCCTATTTAAAATATTAGCAGCTTGCCTTGCAAGGCTGCCTGCCTTATACTGATTTCTGATAAGAAAAGGAAAAAATAGGTCTGTGTTTGTTTGAAACGAGGCAGTTTCCACAGCAGCACGTTTTACTGCTGCACCTCCTCAATTCAATGCAGAGTTTAGAAATAGGAAATATAAATAAATGAATAAAATGTTGCAAAGGGAGCTTGGGCCTACACTCCAGCAGTACAGCCACCAAGGCAATAATGAATGAAGCAGAAATGGATGGTTTTAACAAACGGCACCGAAGACGAAGCCCGAATGAGCAGAAGTTAGGACAGGGGTAGGCAACCTTGGCTCTTTTATGCCTCGTGGGCTTCCACTCCTAGAATCCCCCCAATTAAAGGGAATTGAAGGCCACAAAGTGGCCAGATTTGCAGACTCCTGGTCTAGATGCTGAACAAAAGTGTGAGGATATATGATGACGGTTATTCCAGGAAAAAAAAGGCTACGGCGACCCACAACCTTTGTGACCAGAATCCAGGGCCCACCTGAATGCTTATCCGTTCTGCTTCTTTCGCCATTTCCAGAGCCAATCTGAGGTCCTTCTTCTCACTTTTATTCCTGATCTTGGCCTGGATGGAACAGAGGCTTAAAATCAGAGCTGTGACTGGCCGGGGGGGGGGGGGGGGACGACTCACCATGCAGCTTCTTCCAGAAGAAGGCTGCATCGGCCAATCCAAAGAACAGCTCTGTCTTGTCCTGAAAGGGTTACTAGGGGAGGATGCTAAGCCTTCATCCTTCCTTAAGTCTTCCCTTCCGTCCCTTGTTGTTTCTCAGCCCTGGAAATGAGGCTGTCTGGAAGGAAAGAGCTTGGAGTGGAGAGAGAGAGAAGAATGGGAACAGAAGCCAGCTTGGCCTTCCTCCTCTTTGCCGGCCCCTTTTTCACACGGCTGGGAAAAACTTGACTTTGCCTTAGGGGTGGGCAGGTTTTTCCCCCCTAGGGAGAAAGCGTGGAATTTTGTGGCCATTGTGAAAAAAGAACAGTCTGGAGAGAAGAATGGGTGGGTGGAGGAGTGGGTGCCCATTCATACAGGCAGCCCTTAATTTATAAGCCTTTGAAGTCACGAAATGACCTGTCGTAAGTCGAGGACCCCCTGTACCTTCATCAAAACAATTTGTTTAGAGCAGGGGTCTCCAAAGTCGGCAACTCTGAGGCCTGTGGGCTCCGACTCCCAGAATTCCTCAGCCAGCCATGCAGTCCACAAGTTTTACAGTTGCTAAGTTTGGAGACACACACACACACACACACACACGTGTGTGTGTCTCTCTCTCTCTCTCTCTCTCACACACACACACACACACACACACACACCCCACCAATTCTTTGCAACCTGCTATAGATCTGTGTCCTGAATCATCTGGAAACGGGAGGCTCATTGAGGGACACACAAGGAAAGCAGAGAAAAAACTCTATCACTTCGGCACGTGGGTGGTGATGCCTTTCTCTCTCTCTCTCTCTCACACACACATACACAGGACAAAAGCCTTGGATGTTGTGGCCCACTTTGCAAAGAAACCCTCAAGCAAAGGTCCTTCTCTTACCAAGACGCTTCCTTCTCCGGCTGCTTCACCGTAGTTCTTCAGTTGGGAGGCAGAGATCCAAGCACGGGTCACGGGGTGGCCGAAGAAGGTCACGTGGTACTTGGACTAAGCCAGAAAGAGAGAAGGTCAGTGGCCAGTTTGAGGAGAAGCCGCCTGGAGCAGAAGCGAAGCACGAGGGGGTTCCTCGACTGGAGAAAAGATACGATGACCTTTGCAAGGAAAACCATAGGAAAAGCCCTGGAAAGGCCTGTCTTAGCTAGCAAGCCTCATTCCCCAGATCAGGGTAAGCAACCTTGGCTCTTTTATGACAGGTGGACTTCAACTCCCAGAATTCCTGAGCCAGCATGGGGGAAACTATGGCCCCCTTCATGACTTGTGGACTTCAACTCCCAGGATTCCTGAGCCAGCATAAGGGAACTATGGCCCCCTTCATGACTCATGGACTTCAACTCCCAGAATTCCTGAGCCAGCCTGGCTCAGCTTGGAAACCTCTCCCTTTCCCCTCAGCATGGCTGCCTCAGGAATTCTGGGAGTTGAAGTCCACCAGTCATAAAAGGGCCAAGGTGGCCTAGCCCTGCCCCAGATCAACTGCTCAGACACTGCTTGCCTGTCCCCAATGGCGGCGGGGGGTTGTTCTTTGCAACTCCTTCCCATCTTTTGGAGAAGAGGGGCAGTTGTCTGGCACCCCCTCCTCTGTTTGCTTTTGGGGCAATTTTACTGGCCTCTGTCTGTCTTCCATTTTTTAAATTCATCCTGTTTGCAGCTGGGCTTCCGGCATCCCCTTTTTCGAGGAGTTCCCACTATCCTGAACGCCTCTCTTGCGAGGTCTGATTATCATGGGTGGGGTACATAGGTACACAAAAACATGGCAAATAGACACCATACTTAACAGGAAGTGAGTCTGCCTGGGAAGAAAACAGGAAGTACTCTTCAATGTCAGGGTCAGCTTCTATGATCCCCGGCCACCTAAAAACAGAGGCAGGAAGAGGAGCGGAGAACATTGAGCTACGAGGATCCCTGGTCAAGTTTTAGTTAATTAATTAAATTCATTCTTCTAATGAAGAAAGGTGGTTCTTCCTTTATTCTCTTCTGTATCTGAGAAATCTTGAAATCCTGATGTGAAAATTTCACATTAATTAATAACTTGCCTCTTGAACGTGACTCCCTTCTTGGAGGAGAGGGCAAAAGAGAACACAACTCTGGCTTCTGCACCAGACACACAACTGCACTGTGCATAGCAAAGCTAACTGCAGGCAGTCCTCAACTGACAACAGTTTGTTTAGTGACCGCTTGATGTTGCAGTGCCCTGAAAAAAGTGACCTGCAGCCATTTTTACACCTACAACTGTTGCAACCTCCCCACGGTCCTGCGATCAAAATTCAGATGCTTGAGAGAGATTAAAAACTTTAATATACGTGGTAGAGATAATTTGTTGATGTAAAACAATATTTGATTATGTTAATTTTAAATTGATAAAGCTTTAAAACAGGTGGAGTAGTAACAGAAATTTAAGCTAGAAATGGAATATATTAAATCTATTATGTTATTTGTAAGAAATAGAGAGATGATAGTGAATGTATTAAGTTGAGCTGTTTATGTATGTTTTTCACCTTGAATTGTTTGTTTACCCAAACACCACGGTGTGTCTAAAGTACTCTTTTTTAAAATTAAAAAAAAAACCAATAAAATATATTTTAAAAAAAAAACTCAGATGCTTGGCAACTGACCCATACTTGTGACGGTCGCACTGTCCCAGGGTTACATAAACAGGGAAGCCAGATTCACTTAACAACGGTGTTACTAACTTAATTGTTACTGCAGTGATTCACTCAGCAGTCGTGGCAAGAAAAGTTGTAAAATGGGACAAAATTCACTTAACAACTCTCTCACTTTGCCACAGAAATTGGGGCTCAGTTGTGGTCGTAAGTCGAGGACTGCTGTAAGGATGAAGAAGAACAAGCCTGGAGTCATTTCATCCACTTTTTAAAAGCGGTGAGAGAGAGAGAGAGAGAATGTCAAATGCAGGCTGTGTTTATACAAAACACTTGACTGGGTCCGATCAAACAGGCGGCAGACGCATCTCTCCGACACGCACAGCTTAGTGTTCCCCTTGGTTACGTTTGTTTCTGTTGTGGCTGCCCCGTCTGTTGTGCAAATCCAGCCTGTTTGTTAAGTTTGATCTTGCACACGGAGCCAGAAAACGAATTAAATCCAGAGAGCCGGTCATATGTGTTGCACAAGGGCTGCCGTAGAGTCACAAAAGACTCTGAAAAAAACATTTCTGCAAACCACAGTTTCGTCCCTCGGTCGCTTTTTGTGGTGCACACAGGCCATCCAAAGGTGAGAGAAAAAAACAGGGATGAAAAAAGCCAAAGGTGGCAGGTCCCAGTTGCTGCTGATTTCAAAAGGGCAAAAATTCCTCAGATTAGGGCCATAACTTGGGTATGTTGGGCGAGAATTGGGTATGTCTAGTTTAACGAAGAGAAGGACAAGGAGGGACATGATAGCAGTATTCCAATATCTCAGGGGCTGCCCCAGAGAAGAGGGAGTCAAGCTATTCTCCAAAGCACCTGAAGGCAGGACAAGAAGCAACGGGTGGAAACTAATCAAGGAGAGAAGCAACCTAGAACTAAGGAGAAACTTCCTGACAGTGAGAACAATTGACCAGTGGAACACCTGCCTCCAGAAGCAGTAAATGCTCCAACACTGGAAGTTTTTAAGAAGAGACTGGACAGCCATTTGTCTGAAATGGTGTAGGGTTTCCTGCCCGAGCAGGGGGTTGGACTAGATGACCTCCAAGGTCCCTTCCAACTTTACTACTACTACTATATAAATCTTTCAAACTTCTCCATGCCTGTAGATTTGATACGGTCTTTTTTTTTTTTTAAAAAAAAAAAAGAATTGAATTCTTTCTCCTCACTAATCCAAGAGGCATTTTCCCATCCTGTCCTGACAGCGCCTTGGTGCTTTGCCTATTCCCTAGTAGTCAATTCCACAACCCCATTTTGTCAAGAGATCCTGGTCAATTTCACAACCCCCAGTCAATTGGACCAGGCCAAAATAAACCTCCGTTGCTCACATAAGGCTTTTTCCGGGCGGGATCCCCATCTGTAGAACACACACTGTGAGAGGCTGCATTCAGCACGGTGGAGAAACCACAATTCCCTTGAAATGTTTGTCATAGAAACACCCACGCACCAAGATGTTTGAACAAGAGCACGAAGAGGGTGGCTTGGAGTGTGAATGGTGAGTTGTGTGACTGAGGCAGCAGTGACACAATTAAAGTAGAATGCCTTGAAGAAACCCAGCCCGGGTGTGCCTTGGGACAAGCTGCAGCAGGGTCCTTCTGTGCTCTGTCTAACCGGGTCCCCCCATAATATGGAAACAGGGGAGCCCTTCTGAACGCAGCGTTTGTACCCTCACATGACCAAGAGGTACACATGACACCCCTGTTGCGTTCATTTATAAAAGTCCACCTTGCTGTATACATCCTTTCTTTCGGGATTTGGCCTTTGGAATTACTTCTCCTGCATTTAGGAATTGGGTGTGTCTAGTTCAGGGGTTCTCAACCTTGGCAACTTTAAGACTTGTGGACTTCAACTCCCAGAATTCCTCAGCCAGCAAAGCTGGCTGAGGAATTCTGGGAGTTGAAGTCCACAAGTCTTAAAGTTGCCAAGGTTGAGAACCCCTGGTCTAGTTTAACAAAAAGGACTAGGGGGGACAGGATACCAGTCTTCCAATATTTGAGGGGCTGCCACAAAGAAGAGGGGGTCAAATTATTCTCCAAAGCACCCGAAGGCAGGACAAGAAGCAACAGATTGAAACTAATCAAGGAGAGAAGCAACCTGGAACTAAGGAGAAATTTCCTGACGGTGAGGACAATTAACCAGTGGAACTCCTTGCCTCCAGAAGCGGTGAAGGCTCCAACACTGGAAGTTTTTAAGATGAGACTGGACAGCCATTTGTCTGAAATGGAATAGGGTTTCCTGCCTAAGCAGGGGGTTGGGCTAGATGACCTCCAGGGTCCCTTCAACTCTGTATCCTGTTATTTAATCTAAATCAGTGGTTCTCAACCTTTTTAATGCCGTGACCCCCAACCGGTCGTAAGTCAAGGACTACTCAACCGGTCGTAAGTCGAGGACTACTCAACTGTGCAGCACCGTTTGCAGAATGGGACTTTTGGCGGGCTCAGCAGGGCAGAGACAGCCTGGACAATTCCTGTTGGCTTTGGAAAGCCAATAGAATGAGACTCTATTCAAGAGAGTCTATTCTATTGGCTTTCAAAAGCCAATAGAATCAAAGGGAGTAGCACAGCCAAGGAAAAGGGGGGAAAAAATGGCGGACTGCATTGTTTGGCGACCCCCGTGAAATGGTCATTCGACCCCAAATGGGGTCCTGACCCACAGGTGGAGAACCACTGGTCTAAATAACGGTGTTCAGCATGCCACACTAAGTTGGGGTTGTTTCAGTCTGGTTCTTTTGGCCTACCAGGGGTATCCATATTGCTTGGCCCACACGATGGACCCTGGGAAATAAATGGCATAGACCACTTCGTTTTCGGAGCCCGACCAGTCCTCCTCGGGAACACTGCAGCTGTTGTGCTGAAGATCTGAGAAGAGAAAACAAATGTGCCACTGAAATTAAGCCTGGTCAAAGGACTCCCTTATGCTGAGCTCAGCTCCTACAGGGACACATCGGTGCAGTTTTACTGGCAGCAAGACAGGAAGGAAGGATGTACGCAGCCAGGTGGACCTCTTCCTGTCCTGTTTTTCTTCCCGATTTCCTCGTCGGGACCTATAGCCCTGGGGTTTCCTTGTGGTCTCCCACCCCAGTTTTAATCAAGTCCAGCCATGATTAGCTTTAAAAGGTCAGCTGACTGTTGCCACCAAAAAGAAGCTCAATTTGTGCGAATGTACGGACTTTCCCCTTTCACTCTGGAGTTAACAGAGCAACAGAGTTGGAAGGGACCTCAGAGGTCTTCTAGTCCAGCCCCCCTGCTCAAGCAGGAGACTCTATAGTACCACCCCGGACAAATGGCTGCCCAGTCTCTCCTTAAAAACCTCCAGCATTGGGGCACACGCAACTTCTGGAGGCGAGTCGTTCCACTGATTCCTGCTTGTCCAGAATGGGAGACCCTTGGCAGAAAACGCTTTCACTTAATCGAAGGAAAGGAAGACCCCCCCCCCCAGACCACCAGCCCCACTCAGAGGCTTCCCCTCTACCTGGATTCTGGCTACAGGACCAGTCCTCCGGCAGGGCTGAGGGGTCCACGTCGCTGCTGAGTCGCCGCCACTTCTCACAGCTGGGGTAAGAGCACTGGATCCAAGCGGTACAGCAGCCTGGGAGCAGAAAAGCACCAGGAAACTGGCCGTCAGAAAAGGAATGGAAGTGCCAGACAGCTGTTCCACACAGGAAGAAAGCTTCCCTTGGCTGGAACTGGGGCTGGAGGGCCCCAGTCAGGGGGGTGTTGCTATAATGAGATTCCTGCACTGGGCAGGAGGTTACACCAGACCAGGGGTAGGCCACCTTGGCTCTTTTAGGACGGGTGGACTTCAACTCCCAGAATTCCACAGCTGGCTCAGGAATTCTGGGAGTTGAAGTCCACCCGTCCTAAAAGAGCCAAAGTGGCCTACCCCTGGACTAGATGATCCATCCCTTTCTCTTCTGATCCTGACCTTCTCTGATATATCAGGAACAGGGGAAAAAAGGCCCCAGCAAACCTCAGCTTTGTAAAGCTGCCCAAATACAGGAGGTCCTCGACTTACAAGTGATCATTCGAAGTTACCACAGCATTGAAAAAAGTGACTTCACCCTTGCAACCACTGCAGTGGTCAAAACTCAAGATGCTTAGTACTTGCGACAGCTGCAGCGTCACATTTTTTTGCAACCCCATGGCTAAAATTCAGATGCTGGGCAACGCTGACTCGTATTTAGGACGGTTGCGGTGATCCCCTTTTGCGACCTCGTGACAAGCAAACTCAGTGGGGGGGAAGCGGATGCACTTAGCAATCTTCTTGCTCATTTAACAACCGCAGCGATCCACCGAACAACCGTGGCAAGGAAGGTCGTAAAATGGGGCAAAACTCACAATGACTGTCTTGGTTAGCAACAGAAATTTTGGGTGGTCGTAAGTTGAGGACTACCTATATCCCGATTTTAATGTATTTTTCTCCCTATAGTTTTGGGATTCTTTTTTACGGACTGTGTAGCTTGTCCTCAAAGAGACAGCAGCCTACGCCACACTGTGTTAAGGGCCCTTCCTCACAACTACACACACACACACACACACACACACATCCCTCCTGTCTTTTAATCAGCGGAAAAGCAAGACAACCAAGAACACACCACCTTTGTGGCCAGGCTTTTCTGCCTCAGAGGAGCCATTGGTGGGTCTCCTGGCTTCCTCTGAGCACGTCAAGAAAAGAGAGAAAAAAGGATCCCAGCTGACAGGATGGGTGTCCCAAGGACGAGGCAGGGAGGGCGGGAGGGAGGGAGCCGGCAACCACACTGAGGAAGCACACAACTTTCTTGGCCTTCCCTTCCCCTCAGCCCTTCCCCTCCGCAGCCGTTGGTTGGGCCAGTCAGTCAAAATACAGGTAGTCCTCAACGTACGACCACCACTGAGGCCAACATTTCCATTGTTAACTGAGACATTTGTTAAGTCAGTTTTGTCCTGTTTTACGACCTTTGTTGTTCACCTCCCGTCAAAACTTTTTAAAAGATTCCATCAAAATTGCCCCGCCCTTTTTCTTCTTAACCCATTCTAGGCTTCTTCCTCCCTGTAAGCGCTGTGCGCCCCCTCCTCCTCTTCCTCACTTCTGCAGGTGGCTTTATTTACATGCATCTATTTTTTTTCTCAGCCAGAGGCTCTGTTCTAGGAAGCATCCTTTTTATGCTCCCTATTACAGCAGACTCCCCTCCCTTCTGTGACAAGATAATAATTCCTCCCTCTTCCCAGGCAGCTTTCTCTTCTTTCCACTCTCATTCTTTCTGCGGAGAGATTAATTACTGTAATCGTCTTCTCTCTTTTCAAAGAGAAGCTGTACTTTCTCTTCTTGGGCTTCTTCTTCTTTCACTCTAGCTCCTTCCACTTCTTTCATGTCTTCCTTCTTCCTTTCCTTTGTTCTTCCTTCCTCTCCTTTCCTTCCCTCCGCCCCTTCCTCTTTCTCTTCTTTCCTTCCTCTCGTCCCTCCCTTTTTTCTTCCTCTTTCCTCTCCCTCCCTCCCTTCCTCTTTCTATCTTTTCCTTCCTCTCTTCTCCTTCCTCCTTTTCCTCTTTCCTCTCTCCATCCCTCCCTTCCTCTTTCTCTCCTTTCCTTCCTCTCTTCTCCTCCCTCCCTCTTTTCCTCTCCCTCCCTCCCTTCCTCTTTCTCTCCTTTCCTTCCTCTCTTCTTTCCTCTGTCTCCCTCCCTCCCTCCCTCTCCTTTCCTTCCTCTCTTCTCTTCTCCTCCCTCCCTCCCTCTTCCTCTTTCCTTTCTCTCCCTCCCTCCCTCCCTTTCTATTTTTTCCTTCTCCTCCTCTCTCCCTCCCTCCCTTCCTTTCTCTCCTTTCCTTCCTCTCTTCTCCTCCCTCTTCTTCTTTCCTTTCTCCCTCCCTTTTTCTTCTTCTTTCCTCTCTCTCTCTCTCTTTCTCTCCATCCCTCCCTCCCTCCCTCCCTATCTTTTCCTTCCTCTCCTCCCTCCCTCCTCCCTTCATTCCTTCCTGGCGTGGCATTAGTTTCTTTAAGCCTGCGGTGGTCGTGCCAGGGTCCCTTCTACGCTGCCCCTGTTCTTATTCCCCAGACCCTCCAAACCAGCTTCCAGCCAGCCTGCGGTCAATACTGGCAACCTTAAACGCAGAGGACGCCTTCGGGGGCAGTGGGTCCATCCTCCAACTCACTGACAGAGGGTGCAGGAATCCCACCAGTGTATCCCACTGCTCCCTCTACGGGAGGCTGGTCCTTTTCCAAACATACCAGTGTTTGCAACGGAGGGTAGGAAGGCTACTCAACCACCCCGGCACCAGCCTTCTGTCCCGCAGAAAGCAGCAGAGGAATGCTAAGGAAGGGGAAGGGGCCTAAGTGGTCAGGTGAAGCAAGGTCTGTTAATGAGCAGTTTGAACCCAGGCCCTCCTGGAAACCGTGGTTCAGTGAGCTGGTTTGCGGGACCGCACGCTGAATGGATCTGCCTGAGCAGCAGGCACCCCCGGGTCCTCCCCATTCTCAGGGGACTTTTGCAGAAGTACGAAAGCGCAGAGCAGAAACCCAGCCTGGCTGCCAGACGGTGCTGGTGGCATCTGCTCAGCACCCCTCTGTCCGTCCTCCCCGAAGCCCTCCTGGAAGAGAGGCAGAGTTCAGCTCACGGCGGCTGCCACTTCCTCCGGCCGCCTCCTCTTCCTCCTCCTCCTCCTCCGGCGCTTCCTCTGGGTCAATGACGTCTTGGGCGTCGCCGCCTTGCGCGGCTTTCTTGGGCTCTCTTTTCCGGTTTGCCTTACACCCTACATTGTTTGCTGGCGCTTTCTCATCTGCCAGGAGACAAAGAAAAACAAGTATTTTGCCCACGATGTGTGTGTGTGTGTGTGTGTGTGTGTGTGGTTGTTTTCTCTATAAAAACACCAGAGGAGTGTTGTGGGAGCAACAACAGCACCACTGGACTGGAAGAGGAAACGGTGTGAGCCTTAGCAGCTTGTTTTGAAACCCTGGAAATAACGTCGATATCAATTTGGCCCCGGCCACCCTGCATTGCTTTCCCTGGCCAGACTTCCATCCACGCCAACAAACTCTGGGCCAACAAAGCCACACTCACGCAGAACCCTTTTCCTGCCGGCAGAAGTATGCAACGCGGTGCGGTTCGCTTTTGTGTTTTCATGAAAAAGAAAACGTACTTAGCTTTTTTTCACCCTTGTCGGCACCAAATTTGCTTTGCTTCTTCGTTTTGATTTGGTGTCCTCTCCGTCCCACTTCTGTTTTCTTCCACGAGCCGTTCCGCTCTGCAGGCAGAAATGCCTCCGATGCCTCCCTGAGAAAACCACACAAGCACATGGTGGAGTCCCCCTCAGTAAGGTGGGTGAAAAACGTCTATTCTTGCAAAAACCAAAACAAGCCACACCTGGATGTTACTGGCTGCTGTGGGGATAGAAAGCGAGCATCTTTTTTATTGGGTATAATGCCAGAAAAGACTAGCAAACAAAGCTTATATACATATAAGGAACGGTTGCTGGAATTGGGGATGTCCAGTTTAACGAAGAGAAGGACAAGAGGGGACAGGATAACAGTATTCCAATATCTCAGGGGCTGCCATAAAGAAGAGGGAATTAAGCTATTCTCCAAAGCGCCTAAAGGCAGGACAAGAAGCAACAGATGGAAACCAATCAAAGAAAGAAGCAACCTAGAACTAAGGAGAAACTTCCTGACAGTGAGAACAATTAACCAGTGGAACCACCTGCCTCCAGAAGCGGTGAATGCTCCAACACTGGAAGTTTTTAAGAAGAAACTGTACAAACATTTGTCCGAAATGGTGTAGGGTTTCCTGCCTGAGCAGGGGGTTGGACTCGATGACCTCCAAGGTCCCATCCAACTTTATTATTATTATATTTGATTTTGCATGTGACAACAGTGGCAAGAATTATATTTGCGCAATACTGGAAAAAGGAAGGCATACCATCAGATGAAGAAATAATTAAAAAAATACTGGAATGCGCAGAGATGGAATGACTGACTATGAGACTGAAAGAAAAGAAGAAGAAACGGAATATTATCAAACTTGGGACTTATTTTATCGATGGCTAGAGGAAAGAATAAAGGATTAGGAATTAAATATGTATTAGCGAATGTAAACTCAGACAGCACATTTGTTGAAAAATTATTACTGAATGTATGGGGGGAAAAACCCAATAAAAACTCTTACAAAAAAAAAAAGAAAGTGAGCATCTTAGGATCTATGGCACTTACAAGGTGACTGACAAGCACATTCTGGAGCGCATAACGGTCAGACGTGTCACCGGAAGGCAGAATCACGAAACTGCGTCTCACTTACTTTGCCCCAGGTCGTGAGGGGGAATTTACTGGAGAAAACAGTTATGCTTGGAAGAGAGAGAGCAATAAAAGGAAAACGGGCCTTCGAAGAACGTGATGGCTGGACACCCTCAAAGCTGACATCAGCCAGAGCGTAAAAAAACTCAAAGAAGCAGCGCAGGATGGGAAAACGTGGAAAGGCCTCGCCCTGAGAATCGCCAGGATTCGGACACGTCACTAGGAGAGGCAAAATGATGTAGAGGCTGAACGGTGCATTACGATTTTACCCATCCTATGGAGACTCCCTGGATGACTTTTGTCAATCCCTATGCCTTAGCCTGCCTTGTGGCATTATTACTGAGAGTGACTGGAGAAAAGAGGGCTATGCAGGTCAACCTCGGCATCCGAAAGAAGAAAAAATGGATATAATAACTAAGCAAACACATAAAGGGGCCAGTCCTCAATTTTTCCTGTGAAAGAGCAGCCAATCCATTTCTCAATAAAAGCTACTCTGAACGTACGGTACGGGTTTCCCTTAAATTCCCCTCATTTGGAGCGAAGGGGTGAGCTCTTGGTTCTGTCATGTCCAAAGAACGGCTACCCACTTGAGGAAAAAAAGGAAATGCATGTTTCTGGAGCCAGGTTTGTTTCTTAAAAAAAAAAAAAAAAAAAAAAGTCTATGGAAGAGGGAAGGAGTCACTGAATGTGCCATATGAAATACTGTAAATAATTATATTATGGTTTAATTTGATGGCCTGGTTCACACAATAATCTAGGACAATAGCTGAGTTCCTGCATGCTAAAACATAATGTGATACATTCTTTATTATTCTTTTAATCTGGAAGTTTTAATGATACCTGCTGTGGATGTTTGACCAGCACAACACTTCCCTGGATCCGTGCCTGAAATACATCATCTCAAGGGCACTGCTGCCCAATGACTAAACAATCTAGATATCCGGTCCTAGGTTTAGCCACCCCACTAACTGCTCGCACATAATTTAATCTTATTCATAATTTTATTCCTCACTCGTGTCGTGTACTTTTAAAATGGTTCATTGCTCCAATGTTTTATATTTTGGTACACATTTTATATGCTCTTTTTTTGTGAGTTTTTGTGCATTCATGCTGTGTTCTATTACATCATACAAAATAAATAAACCAGCACAACAGTATTAACCATTGGAGGAGAGGGGAATTCAGCAAATACTAGTTTAAAAAAATATTTTAAGTTATCCAGCTGCATTTTAGCTTAGTCCAACATGTTGTGGGATCCCAGGCCATTTGTGGCCTAGGCTGCCCCAAAGAAGAGGGGGTCAACTTATTTTCCAAAGCACCAGAGGGCAAGACAAGAAACAACGGATGGAAACTAATCAAGGAGAGAAGTAATCTGGAACCAGGCAGAAATTTCCTGACAGTGAGAACAATTAACCAGTGGAACAACCTGCCTCCAGAGGCGGTGAATGCTCCAACACTGGAAGTTTTTAAGAAGAGACTGGGCAGCCATTTGTCTGAAATAGTATAGGGTTTCCTGCCTGTGCAGGGGGTTGGACTAGATGACCCCCCCTAAGGGCTCTTCCAGTTCTATTCTGAATTGAACTGAAATATTCCCCAGTCTTGGTTACCAGCGTTTTGAATCTTGTCTTATGAAAGGAAAGTTACCCGAGATTAATTATATGTGGAGCAAAAGTTAAGAACACCCTTCTGGCTATCATTTTCCCATTCAAAATTAAGAAACAGCAACTGCCCGTTATTGGAGTTGCTTTCCTGTTGTGTTGTCCAGGATGGGCTGGTTGTGAGGCTGCAAACCCTCAGTGGCTCAAGTTATCTATCTGTGTTGTGTGTACTTGGGCGCCACCCGGAGGCCACAAGGTGATGCGCTCACATCTGCAACTGCTGTGTTGCTTTTCTGTTACTAGTGATGGGCTAGACCCGCCCGCAGTGTTTCTCAACCTGGACAATTTTAAGGCATGTGGACTTCAACTCCCAGAATTCCACAGCCAGCAATGCTGGCTGTGGAATTCTGGGAGTTGAAGTCCACATGCCTTAAAATTGTCCAGGTTGAGAAACACTGCGCTAGAGCAGGGGTCTGCAACCTCGACAACTTTAAGACTTGTGGACTTCAGCTCCCAGAATTCCTCAGCCAGCAGACCCTTGGGCTAGAGATCGGGGGGGGGGGGCTGTTGGTGCTTCCTCAGAGCTGAAGCTTCTCCTCATCTGTAAGCATGAGTGAAAAAAAAAATCTGCTGAGATCTTCCTTCTAAATTTTGCCCTTTTCCGAACGGCATTCGCAAGCGGCTCAAACGGGGTGGGAAAACAAAACATGTTCTTTCATTCCTCCCGTGAAAACACTTGGTGGGAAGTCCCCCTGGCTTGAGCAAGACCCAGCGGCAGGTTGAGAGAGGCGGGTGCGAGAGCGAAACGCCTGGGGAGGCCTGTGGTTTATTAAGCTGGATGGACGAACTCTTGGTGGAAGAGCGATCTGCCCTGGTTTCGTTTCTGCTTCCCTCCATTTTTCTCCTCTCTCTGCCAAAGGGGATCGTTTTCTGCCCCTGGTCAAATTATCAGCTTCTAGTACAGGATAACAAGAGTTGGAAGGGACCTTGGAGGCCTTGTAGTCCAACCCTCTGCCCAGGCAGGAGGCCCTAGTAGTCCAATGACTGCCCAATTCATCTGAAATTCAGTACCTTTTGTTATGTACTGCAGTGTTCAGCGCAGAGGACGCCGCGTTTACTATTTCCTTACTCTTGCAGCTACATTCCAGGGGCTTCCCTCTTTTTTTTAGAAGAGACTGGACAGCCCTTTGGTGTAGGGTGTAGGGTTTCCTCCCTGAGCAGGGGGTTGGACTAGATGACCTCCAAGGTCCCTTCCAACTTTATTATTATTATTATTATTATTATTATTATTATTATTATTATTATTACTAACCAGCAATAGGACATGAAGAGCAGTTCTGCTGCTCTCCTGTGTGACGACACTATTTTAATTCTTTGCTATCGTCTGCAGCAGTTAAACACAGGATTGAGGGTATCCATAGCATTACAGCATTAACCTTGTGAACTCTCAGGCTTCCTCCTTCCGTTATATGTTCAAGATGGACAGTATTTAATATTTATTTGTTAAGTATATGTAGGGCTGCGGGTCTACACGTAGGTTGTATATAGTATGTTTTAGGTGTGTGTCACGTATGTGTTTTACTTTGAGAGTGGGCAACTAAATTTCATTTTTGATGTGTGCCGTTGTGCCCACAGTAAAAAAAAAAATGATGATAAAGGTTATCTACCTACCTACCTACCTACCTACCTACCTACCTACCTACCTATCTTATTCATCCATCTATCCATCCATGTATCCATATCTATCTGTCTGTCTGTTGTCTATCTGATTTCTACTTCTTCTATATCTATCTATCTATCTATCTATCTATCTATCTATCTATCTATCTATCTATCTATCTATCTGATCTCTACTTCTTCTATATCTATCTGTCTATCTATTCATCCATCTATCTATCTATCTATCTATCTATCTATCTATCTATCTATCTATCTATCTATCTATCTGATCTCTACTATATCTATCTATCTATCTATCTATCTATCTATCTATCTATCTATCTATCTATCTATCTATCTAGCTAGCTAGCTAGCTAGCTAGCTAGCTAGCTAGCTAGCTAGCTAGCTAGCTAGCTAGCTATTTCTAACCCAGAAGTCTCTTTCTTCCCACAGGCGGAATGCTTGAGGTGCTTCAAGAAAAAGGAACTGGATTTTTTTGTTTTGTTTTGTTTGGAGTCAAAATAATACATTCCAAAACCAGTTCTACAGCAGAGGGCAGCAAAGGAGTCGACCTTGGCTGATCTTGAAAAGCCACGAAGGGCTCTTTACTGTACTTGGATGTGAAAGCACCAGAAAGCCCCGGGCCTGTAGGATGGGCCAGTAGGGAAAGTCAAATCCCAGAAGGAAGGCAGTGGAACAATTTTGGCTTTGTTGCCAAGAAAACCACATGGGCATGAAGATACAGGAAGCTGAGCTTCCGTCCAGGGTAACTGCACTTCACTTACACAAGTTGCAGGTATTACTCACCTGCTCGAAGGCTGGCCTTCCGCAGACTCTGCTGAAACACGTCTCTTCTGAAATTTTTCTAGGAATGAAAGTGGAACAGCTTCATAAAGCTCCGGTGAGCCACGTTCCAAAGATTAAAAATATGTGCAGGGAGAAAGCGTTAGGCTGAGTTTGTTTGATTTTTTTTAATGCTTAATATTAAAATTTAGGGACTGTTTTGATTTAGCTGCTGTTATTGGGCACCGCACTAGTAAAAAGCGTATCCGTACAGTACGGGTAGTCCTCCACTTACAACCGCAATTGAGCCCAAAATTTCCGTTGTTAAATGAGGTTTGCCCCATTTTATGACGTTTCTTGCCGCAGTTGTACAGTAAATCACTACAGTTGTTAAGTTACAAAGTTGTTAAGTGAACCTGGCTTTCCCAGTGACTTTGCTGGGTAGAAGGCCACAGAAGAGGATTGTGTGACTCTGCAACCGTCATAAAATAGGAGGCGAGTGCCAAGTGGCCGAAATGTGATCAGCTGACCGTGTGTGGACTGCCATGGTAGTAAGGGTGAAAAACAGTCAGAAGTCACTTTTGCCAGTGCCGCTCTAATTTCGGTCACTAAATGTACTGTTGTTAAGTCGAGGACTACCTGCACTAGGAAATAAATAGCTGCCACGTGACTGAGAGGCAGCCACCGTGATTTAAAGAAGCCTGGACAGGACTTGGCAAGTTACAGTAGGCAAAATCAGCATCTTCTCGTCTTGACCAATGCAGTGGAACGTAAGAGATATTTAGTTTTCATCTTTACATTAACAGCAGTTGCTTTTTAATTCTTTTTGCACCTCTCTCTCTCCCTCCCTCCCTCCCTCCCTCCCTCTCTCTCTCTTCCTCCTTCCCCTCTCTCCCTCCCTCTCTCCCTCCCTCTTTCTCCTTTCTTCTCCCTCCCTCTCTGCCTCCTTCCCTCTCTCCCTCTGCATCCCTCTCTCCCTCTCTTTCCCTCCCTCTCTCCCTCTCTTTCCCTCCCTCTCTCCTTTCTTCTCCCTCTCTCCCTCCCTCCTTCCCTCTCTCCCTTCCTCTCTCTCCCTCCCTCTCTTTCCCTCTCTCCCTCCCTCTCTCTTCCTCCTTCCCCTCTCTCCCTCCCTCTCCCTTTCCCTCCCTCTCACTTTCTTCTCCTCTTTCCCTCCCTCTCTCTTTCTTCTCCTCTCTCCCTCCCTCTCTCCCTCCTTCCTTCTCTCTCCCTCTCTCTCCTTCCCTCTCCCTCCCTCTCTCCTTCCTTCTCCCTCTCTCTCCCTCCCTCCCTCTCTCCCTCCCTCCCTCCCTCTCTCTCTCTCCTCCCAGTTTCAACATACCCATGCATTCTTGGGGAGACTTTTGAAGTACACTTTGGACGATTTCCTCAAATTGTGCATCGGTGAGACACTCCTTTTCCTATGAAAAGATGAAAAGAGAACGGTGAAAGTAGCTGCATTTAGCACAGTGATTCTCAACCTTTCTAATGCCGTGACCCCATAATATAGTTCCCCATGTTGTGGTGACCCCCAAGTGGGTGTGGCCACCAATAAGAGGGAGTAGGACAGCAAGGGAAAAGGGGAAAAATGGCGGACAGCATGGTTTGGTGACCCCTGTGAAATGGTTCCCGACCCACAGGTTGAGAACCACTGATTTAGCATATGATAAATATAAAAACCAGCTAGCACCAGAATGGAGGTTATTTTTTAATTTTTTAGCTGAGAACCTTCTCTGGATCTAAAACACAGCTCAGGCACTTATTTTGTGTGTTCTAATTTCTGGATTTGCCTTGAAGTTTTTCAACACAATCAGAAGTGCTAATCTTTGGCCTTGACATTTTAAACAAGCCTCCCCAACTCATGCCTTCCAGATGCCTTGGATTTCAGCTTGCACGATCCTAGACTTATATTAAATATATTTGCTAGTCCTTTAAAATGCCAGACTCGTCTTTGGTTTTGATCTAGAAAGTATTGAATATTTTACAGATGAATTTCCATCCCATTCCTTCCACACAAAAAAGAGGAAAAAAATCTAAATATATTGTGTAGTTTGAAGTGATTTAACTTCAGTAAAGAGAAAGCTTCTATTGAGTGTACCCTCTGCAATTCCCAATGTTCATCTATAAGAAAATAAAACATCTAGGAAACGTTGGTGTGATGCTCCAAAGACACACAGATGAAAGTAACTAATTTACAATCACAGTACAGGTTGCCCCCCAAAAAGAGAAAATCTTTTAACAGAGGTCAGGCATTTATGTGGCGTTCTGTTCTGTGGTTTTATACATTTTGTAATTCTATATTGTTTTGCCTTTGTAAATTGTCCTGTAATTTTCCAGCTAAGAACTTATATGTAAAGCAAATATAGAGAAAAAAGAAAATTGAAATATTAATTGTCCATCCTAATTTTTCAAGGAGAAGCTGGTGATATGAAACTCCAGTATTCCAATTTTTCCTGTTCTGAAACTCTGGCTTGGGAATCTCACTCAAGGAAACGAAATCCATTGTCCCACCTACATTCTCAATCATTTCCAAATTCTTCTTGCACTGAGATTTCTTTTCTACATTAGCCGTCCTCTCTGTCTGTCTTTTACTTTGCACTGGTAACATATTTATTATGGATTTGGCTGTAACTCCATCTTCTGCCTTGCCGTGAAGCTCCAATTCACCTTTTCCAAAGGGTGTGCTGTAGGACTTCACTACGGGAGGAGCAAAGACTCTTTTGGGCAGTTTGTTGGATTCTGGAAGGAGAAAAACCACATCTTCATTAATAATGTATAAATTATACTCTGTGTAAGTTAGGATTGCTGCTTTGTTTTTGTCTTAGTAAGACAAAAAGAAAAAAAGCAGCAATCCTAACTTACACAAAGCGCAATCCACCAGGGATTACTTTATACAAGCTAAAATATTGTTATTGTTATTTTGGTCTATAACCTGACACCTCCTTTTATTTCATTCAGAGATCGTAGTAAGAGACAAATTTCCATTTTCAGTAGAAACTCTGGGAACGACTCTTGCTCTCTGTTTTTGAAAAAGAAGACAAATTCATGACGTTTTATTCTTTGCTCAGGGCTCTGACTTTTACCTAGAAATTGGAAAGATACCAGCTCTTTTCCCTAACTTCAAGAATACACACTGGATAGGGTGAGGGGTCATACATACAGGTAATCCCTAACTGACAACCGTTCATTTAGTGCAGTGGTTCTCCACCTGTGGGTCGGGACCCCATTTGGGGTCGAACGACCATTTCACGGGGGTCGCCAAACAACGCAGCCCGCCATTTTTTCCCCCTTTTCCTTAGCTGTGCTACTCCCTTTTATTTTATTGACTTTTGGAAGCCAATAGAATAGACTCTCTTGAATAGAGTCTAATTCTATTGGCTTTCAAAAGCCAATAGGAATTGTCCAGGCTGTCTCTGCCCTGCTGAGCCTGCCAAAAGTCCCATTCTGCAAACGGTGCTGCACCAGTTGAGTAGTCCTCGACTTACGACCGGTTGGGGGTCGCGGCATTAAAAAGGTTGAGAACTACTGATTTAGTGACTGTTCACAGTCACAACAGCACTGAAAAAAGTGACTTATGACCCCCATGGTCACGGGATCAAAATTTGGACGCTTGGCAACTGACTCGTATTTACAACCGTTGCTGTGTCCCGGGGTCGTGTGAACCCCCCTTTGCCAGATTCACTTAACAACTGTATTACTAATTTAACTGCAGTCATTCACTTAACCACTGTGGCAAGAAAGGTCGTAAAATGGGGCAAAACTCAGGTAACAAATGTCTCGCTGAGCTGTGGAAATTCGGGGCTGAATTGGGATTGTACGTTGAGGACTAGCGGTGTCAGCAGGCCTCTTCGGGCTCCCTTTTTTTTTTCTGAGAGAGTTAATTGAGGCTGGAATTCGGCTCTTGAACTGAGCCTGCTGAAAGGTGCACCAGCATGAATTTGCTGGCTCCTATTTGGCGGCATTCAGTGTTGAGCTTTCTTCCTGATGGTGGATCAGGTTAAAGAAAGAGGTTGGTGGGTCTTCCAGCAAACAGCAAGCAAGGGGGGGAAGGAGCCCGCCCAGGGCTCTCCCTCACCTGCTAGCTATTAGGAAGAAGATAGTGCTAGGGCTGCACTGTGTGTAAAAACAACCCAGCCAGCTGTCAAGGGCAGGGGCTGTTGCAGAAGGCAGTAAGCAGCAATGAATAATTTCCACCCTGATAAGTTCTGCAAGGCCATGATGATACCGGGGCAGGTGACCAAGAAGTCCAGTTTTGACCTCACAGAAAGTCGAAGAAGAGCACTTGGAAGAAGCTGTTGACCAGTCTTAGAGAACAAGGGCGGAACAAATCTGCATCGTGGTGACTGACCTGGGCGTAATGAAAACAAGCATCACCATGGCAGCTAATGCTGCCAAAGCAGGAATGGAATAAGCAAAACCCTCCAGACTTGAATCGACTTACGGCTACAGTGGAGCCCAAAATTTCGCTTTCCTAATCGAGACAGTTGCTAAGTGAGTTTTGCCCCATTTTACAACCTTGTCATGGTTGTAAGGTGAATCACCTCAGCTGTAAAGTTAGTAATACAGTTGTTAAGTGAATCTGGCTTCCCCATTTGACTTGGCTTGTCGGAAAGTCGCAGAAGGGGATCACATGACTCCAGGACACTGCAGCCGTCATAACACGAGTCAGTTGCCAAACGTCTGAATTTTGATCACTTGACCACCAGGATGCTGCAAGGGTTGTAAGTGTGAAAAACAGTCACAGGTCACTTTTTTCAGTGCCATTGTAACCAAATGAACAGTTGTAAGTCAAGGACAACCTGTAGTAGCACTACTATGGAGAGGAAAGCCGCACAAGGCTTGTCCCAGGAGCATCCAGGCAACGTATAATGCATGAGCACCAGTCCCTAAAACTAATAAAAGTGGTAAAAATAGTAAAAAAAAATTGCAAACACGCAAAAACCTGTGTTGGAAGAAGTAATGCAAAACATTGCAGCACCCCTGGAGACGTAGCTACTTTAATACATCAAGAACGGAGTACAGACTGATCATTACTTACCGTTCTTCTTGCTCTGGCTTGTCATTGTTCATCAACCTGTCCAAATGGTTTTGCTTTACGTCTGTTTTATTGAAAACAAGAGGAGGAACGGGGAGAAAAAGCAAAGTGCGTGTTATTTAGGCCACCTTTAAAAGAGGAACCTGCTATCCCACTAGCATAAATTCCCCAAGATTCCCCCCTTTCTTTCACTCTATTAATACTACACTACTGTATATATCTAAATCTAATTATGTAATAAGACCACAGTAAAATCTGTTAATAAACCATCTCTTCACCACATGGCGGTACATCTCCAAGTTGCATCTGCATCGTTAGAGAACTGGGACAGACTGACAAACGTATTGGAAAAATAAAGAGAAGGTTGTTCTAGCTAGGAGCTGAATCCAGCCATTCCTGTCAGCAGAATGGCTTTCTCCTTCTCCCGCCCTTTTCCCATCACTGCCCTGCCAACTTTCCTTGGAGATAAGGGGCCATAAACCCTAACAGATAAAAAAATGTAAATGTAAAAAAATGACAATAAAGGTTATCTTATCTTATCTTATCTTATCTTATCTTATCTTATCTTATCTTATCTTATACGCTTAGGCTGCCCTTCTGCGATGTCAGAATAAGGAAAAAATAATACTTTAACACCAGTATAGCTAAGGTCAGCTTAAGCCTGTCTCATTCACAAATTAAACAAGAGAGGAAGGAGATAGCAGCATCAAAAAGGTATTGAAAATTCCGTATCTGTTGGTGCCCTGGTTTGTTGCTCCATAAGGTAGCCAGATCATCCAGTCAGAAAACAACAGCAACCAAGCAAAAGCCATCAGACAGCGGCTGTGTTTATGAAAAGTAATGTTTAATTTTCTATACTGATCTTTTAAAGGACTATTTTTAGAACATTTCCCTGAAAGAAAATGCCTCCATAGGTTAGGATTTGTTATACAGTCAGATTGGCCTAGTTAGCTATCCTAGATCCTTGGAGTTAAGAGCCCAGAAGGACCCCTAGATTGCAGATCAGCTCTTCCTGGGGAACATAGCCCCATCTCAAGTGGGCATAATCCTAGACTTGGGTGTCTCCTGGATAGCAACTGCTCCTCTTGTTAGGCTTAAGTTTCAACTTTCTTTCCCCTTCCTTAACTCACGTAGGGAGCCAGGAACAGAGCCTTCTCTGCCTTCTTAGCCCCAGAGGTGAGATGCCCCCTCCCCTCCTTTGGCCTTCTAGAGACCTGGCTCTGCCAAGTGGCCTGGGGGTCTACGAGTGACCTGCAACCTGAGGGGGGTGGGGAGATGGACGCACTTTCTCCACCTCTTTTAACATCTTCATTTTAATCTTGTTCTTCTTTCTGTTTTTACCTTTGCTCTTCTAACTAAGGTTTTTATAGTACTGTATTATTTTTACAAATAGTCCTCAAAATTTCTGTTGTTAAACGAGACATTTGTTAAGTGAGTTTTGCCCCGTTTTACGACCTTTCTTGCCCCTGTTTTTGCCTCAATCACTGCAGTTGGTAAGTCAGTAACCCGGTTGTTAAGTGAATCTGGCTTCCCCATTGACTTTGCTGGTCAGAAGGTCGCAAAATGGGATCACGTGCCCCCCCCCCAGGTACACTGCAACCATCATAAATGTGAAACAGTTACCAAGCATCTGAATTTTGATCACAGGAACATGAGAACGCTGCAAAGGTCGTAACTGTGAAAAATGGTCATAAGTCACTTTTTTCAGTGCCGTTGTAACTCTGAATGGTCAATAAATGAACTGTTCTAAGAAGGACTACCTGCATTGTAAACTGCCCAGAGTCACTAAGGTGAGACGGGCAGTGTATAAATCTGATAAATAAATAAAAATCTGCATACTGATGACTCCTTCTCTGAAATCATAGCATGACCTCGATGGATGGTTTCATGCAGATTTTAAACGAAACAGGGCGGGAAGGATTGAGACCCACAGCGCATCACACTGACCTAGTGGTGCCCCCAAATCCCAGCCCTTGAGGGGGTCTACAAAAATGCCACGGCTGATGTTCCTGAAGGTCTCACAATAAATATTGTGATTTTTTTGCCTCTTGGACAATGATTAGAATAGATCCTTTGCAGAAATCTAGGGGTAGGAGACTATGATGGTACTTTCTGAGCTATGTGTGAAAAATGGGCACACATCTAAGTTAACATTCGAACCTGCACCATCTCTCCTAGCGACTGTTAATTTGTCTACAATTCTTTGGGCTCCAAGTAACAACATCCTAGCTTCCTTACTGCAATATGTTGTTGCATGTTGGTTTATGAGCAACAGTTCTTGACTAGCTTCCTGTTTGTTTCTGGACTCAAATTAAAGAACAGAAACCTTTTTTTTTTTTAATTAAAGTCATGACAGACTTAAGCTTCTATATCCAAGGCTTGCAAATGGACTTGCCTTGCAACTAAGACCCATTCTGGATTGCCTTTTCCAGCTGCTCCTTGAAAGTCAAGAGGACAGCTGTCAAAGATGGCCCCCTTTGTGCTGGGTACCTCTTCTAGAACACCAAACCACTCTTCCCAGCAATGAAGCCCACCAGATGCTTCCAGAATGTTCACAATCATTCCTCTCTCCTTTTGGGATTCTCCTGAAAGTGAGGTTTGCTCCCAACCTGGAAGTGGTATTTAAGACTGATAGGGTAGATCTGTCCTCTAAGGGTCCCTCTTTAAAGCCATTCCATAGTGCTTCTCTTGAGGGCATGAGTCCCATAGGCTGAAGTGTTAAGGCAAGTCCTGTCCCATCAGCCCAAGGCCCATTCTAGGCTAGATGCCTCCAAGTAGGATTTCAAGTGGAAGGCATCTGCTCTCAGCTTGGAAGCAGTCTTACATTTCAAGGCTGATAGGACCAATCTCCATGAATCCCCCAATAGCTATTCCAAATAGTGATCATCACATCTTGTAGGAATGAGCTCCACAGACTGTGTGAAGTTGAAGTCTGCTTGGGCAGATGTTGGAATAAAACAGGGGTCTTCAAACTTGGCCCTTTTAGGTCTTGTGGACTTCAACTCCTAAAAGGGCCAAGTTTGAAGACCCCAGGAATAGAAGACCCTTCAAACTCTGTTATTCTGTAAATGAGCACCTTTCCTTCAAGCAGATGCCTCCAAGGAATTCCCAAACCACAAATGGAGGTATCCCCTGAAAGTGGGACTTGAAGGCATCTGTTCCTAGCATGGAGCTAGACCTGAGTCTTCAAAGATGATAAGAATAGAACTGTCCCCCATGAATGCCTCTTTAAAGCCATTCCAGATAACGGCCACCATCCTGTCTTAACAGGAATGAACTACACAAACTGTGAGAGGCTAAAATGAACTCTTTTCCATCCACCTGAGGACCATCTTAGGCCAGATGCCTCCAAGCAGTTCCCAAGGGGGAGATGTTCTTCTACAAATGAGGCTTGGAGGCATCTGCTTCCAACCTGGAGACCCCAAAAATGGGGCTGAGTCTTCAGGGATGATAAGAGACCTGTCCTCCATGAATCGCCTTTTAAAGCCACTCCAGATAGCGGCCACCATTCGTGTGGGTAGCAAATGGTGGAATTACACAAACATCAAGCTCTCCATGCAGGAATGTTCACCTTGGTGGCTTCCTTAGTACCTTAAGGTACCTGGTGTCCTAGGTTTAAATGAAAAATATTCCATTTGAAGGTGTTTTTTTTTAAGGCAAACATTTTGCCCTGCTCATTCTAATCTCTACCAATAGGTTTCCCCTCATACGATCTCTGAGGGATCTTCTCACAAAAAGGGGGATCAAGGGAGTTTATCCTGGGGCTACTAAAGGATCAAATGGATTTTTTTTGACGATGATACCAGAAGCCATTTTCTTGGTTTGGAACAAAAGGTGGAGACTTCCTAGTTTTCTGTTGGTTCAAATTCTGACTAAATTTTGGTGAGAAGAGCTCATGTAGAAGCGAAATAAATAAAAATACAGGCAGGGAGGGACTCCTCTTAAAGCAGCCACCAGGAAAAGCCACATTTGCTGCTGAACCCAAGAAATCTTGACATGGAGGCTCATTCTGAGGTAAAAAAAAGTGCCTGTAGGGCCTCAGGATTCCCATCCTTTTCTCTGCCGCTTTTTACTGGCATCTTGTCGGCAAAGGAAAGACTGTGAAATTAAGAATTAAAGCGCTCTCCTGTGCGACAGAAGGAATTTTAATGTGGATTTTCAATGCTGCGGTATCCATGACAAAGCAAACCTGGCACCTCAATGCTTTTTCTCGCCTCAGCATTTTTTTCGTGAGGTAAAAAAAAAGCGCGGGCTCGACAGAACCGGGGCTTTTGTGTCGTATTTGTACCACAACGGCAAACTTCGCTCGTTTGTTTTAAAGCTCAACATTACCTCAGTTTTCTTTTTAAAAAAAAAGTTAATTTTTTCCTTTGCGCCCGTAAACTGAGGTAAAACACCAACGAACGAGAAGCGCGCGCACCCGCTCGCTTCTGCCCTAACGCGCAGGCGCGGCCCCTGCACGCGGCTCCGCACATCCGGGTCTCCGCTGGCCTCGAAGGGGGCGTGTCTCTCTCTAGCACTGAGTCATAGAATCTCCGGGACCCGCTTGTTGCACCCGCAGGCTCGCGCGCCGCGCATGCGCACAAGAGCCGGGCTGAGCGGCAGGGACAATACTGCTCTTGCAGCCTTGCGCGGTGCAATTGCGAGTTTTGCGCCGTGGCTCAGGAGAAATCCCGCCCTTTTGCAACCGCTTTCCACTACGAAAAGGCGGTTGGCTGCCTGCCGTTTGCAATCACGCACCCGCTGAGCCAGTTGCACGGCTTGGTGGAGGGCGTGAGGTTGAGCCTCTGCGCCTAATTAGGGGTGCAAAAGATCCGAACACCACAGGGCAGTTAGGCGGCGTGGGGGGCATGTAGCCAGGATTGACACAATCCGTTGCAAGGGGGTGCGTTTGCATCCAGCAAGCCAGTCAATCTTTAAATCTGGCTTGCAGGAACACTTCAGCGCCCGGAAGCGTCTTCTATTGTGGTTGCGTCTTTGGAGGCGAGCAAGAGCGTGCAAGTCACGCGAAACATACCCGGGAAGCAGCGAGAGAGCGGATGGCTGTGGGCGTTTTCGACTTACAACTCCCTATCTTCCGCAAACCAGCCTGTACAAGAGCGGTGGGAGCTGTGGATAATGAGGGTTGCAGTCCAATATGTTGTGCCCGGCCCATGCAAAGAAAAGATGCCGAAAATATGAAATCTACGGGGGGGGGTGGATTTATTGCACGCACGCGCTTAAATTTGCTTTCCTAAGGCAGGAGGGCGGGCGTCGCCCTTCGCACATGTGCAGAGTGTATCCTGGACTCTCGGAAACTACAAGGACCAGGAGGCTTTGCGGCCCTTCTCCCTTCGGGAAGCGACGCCACGTGACCATCCACAACTGCCCATATTGGGAGCCCTTTGCTGCTGTTGTTTGTTTACATGCAAGACGGAATTTACTTCTGTTTACTCGGATTACGATCCAAATACCCGTCCCCGCGGCAACAAGCAAGTTTCTCTTTAGGAGACGTGGGGAATCCGCTGGGGAGGCTTAAATTAACGCCTGCAATGAGGACTAGAAACCTGAAGAGACTCAGGTGGTCCTGCTCCCACCTTTATACGCTACGCTGAGAATTATTCTTTAATTATTTCCATCGTTAATAAAAATAGTAAACGTTTTCTTACGAGGAATGTAAGCTTTGGACCGAAGTAACACTGTCACGGGCACGTGATAAGCCCCGCCCTCAACAAACAAGGACCCTCGCCCACACTTTCGAGAAAATTATCTCAGAACGTTGATTGGTTAAAGACACGGTATACCACTCCTCCTATTGGCCGAAATGGGACAAAGGAGGCGGGAGTAAGGGGGGAGGTGGCTCCTGGAACGGCTGCTAGAGAAGATTCCAATTGGCTGCCAATCCACGCGTGTGGCGACAGCCGCGACTCCCGATTGGCCGAAGCTCCGAGAAGGGGGCGCGCCTCCCCTCGGCCCCACCCCTCGCGTATATAAATCACCGTCGCAGGGGGAGCGTGCCATCGCGGGAAAGCGGTAGGCGCGAAGCGTTCTTTCTTCGGCGGGCGAAGGCCTGCGCGCGCATGCGTCGCGAGTGACGGGCGGGGGGGACGCCTCGGCGCGTGCGCGCCGGGATCTGAGGCGCGCGGGCAGGAGCACCGCGGCTGCGCCGCGCGGGGGCCGCCGGGGCGGCGCTCGAGCGCGCGTCCGCACGGCGCACGCGTAGGAGGAGCCCGCGAGGGGCGGAGCGGAACGCTGACTGAGGCGGCCGCCGCCGCCGCCGCCAGGAACCGAACTCGGCGCCGCCGCGGCGGCTGCTGGGCCCGCACCCCGCTCGCCCGGCCAGGCATGATCGAGATGGCCACCGACAAGGAGACGTTCCTCGTCCCGGCGCCGCCGCCGCCGCTGCTCAAGGCCCGGGGCGAGGAAGGGGCGCCTCAGGAGCCGCCGCCGCCGGCCGAAGACCCCCAGCGCCGGGAGGAGCCGGCCTCCGAGCAGTTCCAGCGGCCCCGCAACGGCTTCCAGGCGCCCCCGCGGGCCCCGGGCTGCGGCAAGCGGCGCAACAGCTGCCACGTCGGGGGCGCCGGCGGGGGCTTCAAGCCGCCGGCCTTCAAGCGGCGCCGCCGGGTGAACTCGGAGTGCGACCCGGTGCTGCCCTCGGAGTTCCTGCTGGGCGGCAACATCTTCGACCCGCTGAACCTCAACAGCCTCCTGGACGAGGAGGTGAACCAGGCGCTCAACGCCGAGACGCCCAAGTCGTCGCCGCTGCCGGCCAAGGGCCGCGACCCGGTGGAGATCCTCATCCCCAAGGACATCACCGACCCGCTCAGCCTCAACAACGCCCAGGAGGACCCGCCCGTGCTGGCCTCGCCGCTCAAGGCCGGGCGCAAGCGGCACCGCCACCGGGGGAGCCAGCGGGCCGTGGCGGCCTCGGAGGGGGCCGGCAAGCCCCCCGCTGCCGCCGCCGCCCCTTCCTGCAAGTCGTGCCAGAAGGCCTGCAACGGGGCCACCCCGCAGCCCTACGAACTCAACACGGCCATCAACTGCAGGGACGAGGTGGTCTCTCCGCTGCTGATGGAGGGCGGGGAGCAGCTGCCCGCCGCCCAGCAGGCCTCCAGGAGCGTCGCCCCCTCTTGCCCTCCCGCCGCCTCTTCAGCGAGTGCCGGGAGTCGTCACCACCACCATCACCACCGCAAAAGGCGCAGGACTTGTAGCAAATCCGAAGGGTCCGGGGGCAGCCGGCAACAGAGCGAGCAGTCCAGCCGGGGCAGCCCCGAGCGGGGGCCCAGCGTGCCTCCCCGCGGCTGCCACCCCCAGGCTTCGTCCGTGCAGCCTCGCCGGGCCGAGCGCAACAAGTTCCAGTACGGCAACTACTGCAAGTACTACGGCTACCGCAACCCCGACTGCGAGGACGTTCGGCTGCGGGCCATGAAGCCGGAGTGGTTCCGAGGCCGAGAGGTGCTGGACATCGGATGCAACGTGGGCCACCTGACCTTGAGCGTGGCCAAGAAGTGGGGACCGGCCCGAATGGTGGGGCTGGACATCGACGGGGCCCTGATCCATTCGGCTCGCCAGAATATCCGCCACTACCTTTCCGAGGAGATGCAGGAAGAGCAGCAGCGGCAGCGGCCCCAGGACAGTCGCAGCGAGGGGGAGGGGGGCACCCCAGCCAAGAAAAGCTTCCCTGCTTCTCTCATGGCCAGCCGGGGTCCGATTGCTGCACCCAAGGTGCCCCAGGACGGGGTCGATGCAGCGGTCTTCCCTAACAATGTGGTCTTTGTTAAGGTGAGTGAGAGGGGCCAGGTGCCCCCCACTGAAACTCCCCCCCCCGTGTGGGGAGGGGGTCCTCAGCCAGTCTACGGCCTGTGAAGTGCTGAGGAGGGGCACTTGAGAGGTGAAGCTGGTTGAGGGTGGGGTGGGTGGGGGCCAAATGGGGTGCTGGGTCATCTCTGATAAGGTTCTCCCTGGGCCAGGAAAAGGGGCTTTTGGAGGTGGAAGCTTGGAGTGCTGGGCTGGGAGGGAGAGACAGCAGGACACACACACACACACACACACACACACACACACACAGAGAGAGAGAGAGAGAGAGAGAGAGAGAGACTGGAAAGAGCTCGAGATGAGGGGACTTTGCGACAACCCCATAACCAGCAGGGGGTCAGGTGGCCTTTCTGATGCCCAGGGGGAAGAAGAAAAATCCTGCCTCCAGGGAAGGGTGATGAGGCTGCTGTCAAGATTCCCCCCCCCCCCCCCAGCATCTCCAGCCCTGGGAGAGATGCTGAGCAACTGGGGGCCTTGTGAGGGTGGGGGATGGTGGACCTTGGAGAATGTGGGGGGAAGAGGGGGGTCTGCTTCTTTCCAGTTCAGAGGTGTGCACTGTATTCTGCTTCCTCTTGGGGGGGGGGGCGTCCTATTGGCCAAGGGTTTGGGGGAATTGGAAGGGGAGCCTCCCCCATAATCAGACGCCCTGGAGGCATGAATTGGTACCAGCTTTGCTCTGGGCAAGAGGCAGACTCTGCTGGGAGGGAGAGCTTGCTGTATGTTCAGTTCAACCTGAAGCCCCATTGGGAGTGGGCTTTCAAGAGGCGATCCCCTGCCAGTTCAGGGAAATCGGAGGCGTTTTGGGGTGGCCACCCCTTCCCACATAGGCCGAGGTAAGCTCTGCTCTGTTCCTTTGGTTACAGGGGCTGTGAGCAAGGAGCCTGGCCTAAAGGGGGAAGTAACTGGGAGGCAGAACGAGAACTGAAATTCAATTGAAGCTACCCCCTCCCTTCCCCCCCCCCAGCTGGCTCAGCCTTCCAGCAGCCCTGAGCCCAGAAGAGCCTGGGGCAGCCCCCCTTTCGGACCCAGCCGCCAGCTTTCCTCCTCTTTGGCCTTGATCAGAACCTAAAGATGAACCACAGGAGCTCCTGGGGGGGGGGAAGAGAGCGCAAGGGTGGAAGAGACGACCTTGGCCAAGATAGGCAGGAACCGTTTATTCCTGCAAAAGGGGGGGGCTGAAATGGTCTAACATCCAGATAATGGGGTGGGCACCCCCCCCCCCAGTTCACTGAAGATGAAGAAAGGGGGAGGAGCAGAGTCCAATCAGATTTCCAAGCTTCCGTTACAGGCAATTCTCAAGTTACGCTCACAATTCAGCCCAAAATTTTACACTGCTAAGCAAAAGGTTTGTTGAGTCTTGCCCTGTTTTGTCACTTTCCTCTCCAGAATTGTTAAGTGAATCGCTGCAGTTAAGTTAATAACACGGTCATTAAGTGAGTCTGGCTTCCCCATTGACTTTGTTTGTCAAAAGGGGGATCACGTGGTCCTGGGGATGCTACAACGGTCTTAAGTGTGAAAAAAATGGTCGTAAGTCACTTTTTTTCCCAGTTTCAGTGTTTTTTTTCCAGGACTACTTGTATGGTAAGCGTTCTCCATCAAAGCCTGGCCTGCGTACAGGGGCTGAGCCCTCCTCCCCACCTGCCGAGTGAGCATAAAGGCAGAGAAGGGCAGAGCAGCCCTTGGGGGTGGGGGGGAAGTCCTGGGGGACTATCCAGCCTCATAAAGAGCCTTGGATCGCCCCTTGGATGCTGGCCTGGCCTTGCCAAACCTGAGGCCCAAGCGTGGCACGATCCCGCTTGCCGGCCCTCAGCTCCTTCCCCAGGGAAGGCTTCCACCAAGTCTGTAAAAAAAAAAAAATTAGGTGCAGCTGATTTTCCCCCCCCCCCATTCCCACCCACCCTGGGCTTCCTGGCTCTCCCACCCAAGGCTCAGGGTTGCTGGTGGAGGGAGTCGGAGCACAGCTGGAGCCCTTGCAGCTGTGCCCGTCTCAAGGTTGCAGAGCGGGAGCAGTCAGGCGCCTCCAGCAGGACCTTGAGGCACCGTCCCCCAAATCAGTCACTTGCGGTCAGTCACTCCCCACGGCCTCTTCCCCCACCTTCTTTCCTGGCCTCTGTAGGTCCACAGGTGGGAGAAAGGCTGGCAGCCCCTGTTTCCCCCCTGGGTGGGTGGACGGTCCCGAGATCCCCTCTCCAGGGAGGATGTCCCGCAAGGACACATTTGTAGTGGTGGGTTTTGGCCGGGGCTTCTTCTCTGAGCTTGCCTTTTTGCTCCCGGACGTTTCGTGACCAAGCTAGGCAACGGCTCCAGCAGGACTTGGGGGTGGGGGCTGTTGCTGCAGCATCCCCCTGCTCGTGTGATTTACATTTGGACGCTTGGCCCTTGACTCACGTTTATGACCGTTGCAGTGCCCCAGGGTCACGCCGTTCCCCTTTTGCGACCTTCCGACAAGCAAAGTCAATGGAGGAGGCAGCTTCACTTAACAGCCAGGTTACTAGCTTAACGACTGCAGCGGTTCGCCTAAGCCATGTGGCCAGGACAGTTGTAGAATGGGGCACAGCTCACTCAATAACCGTCTCGCTTAGCAACCTCAATTTTGGGCTGAATTGTCGTAAGTTGAGGACCACCTGTAACCGGGGGCCCAAGGCACGCTGGCCCTGTCAGGCCTTGCAGGGTGGGGAGAACCCACTAGATGGATAGATGGATGGATGGATGGATGGATGGATAGGAGAGATAGATGGATAGATACAGATGAATACAGATGGAAAGATGAATGGAGAAAGAGATTAGATGGATGATAGATGATAGATGGACAGATGGATAGAGAAAGAAATGGATGGATACAGATGGATAGATGATTGGAGAAAGAAAGATAGATAGATGATAGATGGACGGACAGATGGATAGATGAATGGAGAAAGGGATGGATGGGTACAGATGGATGGATACAGATGGATAGATGAATGGAGAAAGAGACAGACAGACACAGATAGATAGATAGATAGATAGACAGATAGACAGATAGATAGATACAGAGAGAGAGACTTTGAACATCAAGGTCCCCTCCCAAAAAGTCCCCCCAGATAATAACCAGCCCTTCAATTGGACCCCAAAACCTCTGGATAGCCAGTGCAGCTAACAAAGCAGAACTGTTCGGTGGGCGCATGCAGGATGCCCGCTACTGCCCAGGCTGAAGCTCCTGAGCAGTCTTCAAGGGCAGCCCCACAGAGAACGCTTTGCGGCTAGCAGTGGCCGAAGGTGCCCAATCCAGGGCGGAGGGCAGTTGGCGCACAAGACGCCTTGGCGGCCACAGCCGCCTCTTCCCCATCCAGCAGGCCCTGTGGGCCATCGCACATCAGTTCCTGCTAGAGCAGGGCTCTCCCAACTGGCAGCTTTTAAGACTTGCGGACTTCAACTCCCAGAATCCCTTAGCTCAGTGTTTCTCAACCTTGACAATTTTAAGGCATGTAGCCTTCAACTCCCAGAATGCTGGCTGTGGAATTCTGGGAGTTGAAGTCCACATGCCTTAAAATTGTCAAGGTTGAGAATGCTAGCTAGCAAGGCTTTTCCCAGAACCCCCCACGGGGAGGACAAGAACACACGTGGCTAGACTACACTTAGGATGTTTTTTGATTAGGTGGCTTTCTTAATAGACGGTGGGAATGCAGTAAACGTAATAGATCTTGACTTCAGCAAAGTGGGGGAAAAAAGAGCGGGCTGGGGAATTCTGGGAGTTGAAGTCCACAAGTCATAAAAAGAGACAGAACCCCGCTCAGAATGAAGACTGGACAATCCACAGAGGGGGCTCGGGGGGGGGAGACTTTGGTAGCCTCACCCGGCGAGCAGCATCCCCCCAGCACACCGGTGGCGCCTGTCTCTGGGTTGGCAGCTTTTCCCAGCCTCGCCCAGAAACGCTGAAGCGTTGGGGGGGGGGAGAAGTGTGTAGCCCATGGGGCACAGCCTCTCCCCCGAGGGGCCAACAGGAGCCAAGCCCCCCCCCCTTGAGTCCAGCAGCAGACCGACCGACCGTCTTCCTTCCTTGGCAGGGCAACTACGTCCTGGACCAGGATGAGCTGCTGGAAGCTCAGAAGCCGGAGTACGACGTGATCCTCTGCCTGAGCGTCACTAAGTGGGTGCAGCTCAACTGGGGCGACGAGGGGCTGAAGCGCCTCTTCAAGCGCATCTACCGCCACCTTCGGCCCGGCGGGGTCCTGGTCCTGGAGCCCCAGGCCTGGTCTTCCTACAAGAAGAGGAAGAACCTGACGGTGAGCAAGGGGCTGGGTCGGACCCCGGGGGGGGGGAAGGGAGGGTCTCCCCCCTCACCGCACACTCACAGGTGCCAGGATTCGGCAATGGCGGCCTGGATGGGGCAAGCATCCGCAGAGGTGGGCAGGGGGACCCCCTCCTCGCTGGTGCAAACCCTCCCCCCTTCCTCCCCCCCCCCCCAGGAAACGATATCCAGGCACTACCACCGGATCAAGCTGAAGCCTGACCAGTTCCCCTCCTATCTGACCTCCTCCGAAGTGGGCTTCTCCAGCTACGAGCTGGTGGCCATGCCCAGGAACACGTCGAAAGGTGACTGACTGGGCGCAGGGGGGCAGGGGATGGGCCAGGGCAGCCCCAAGCAAAGCAGCTGGGCTGGGCGGGGGCTTGGAGGGTGGAGGGGGTCCTCCCACAAACGCCAGAGTCCTTCACGGGCCAGGCGGGACCGTCCGGGATGGGCAGCCGGGGGGCTCCTGAAGGCCCAGCAGCCGTGCCCTGCCTGGGGGGGAGGGCAGTCTTCCCTGGATCGGCCAGAGCCAGCAGCATTGGGGGGCGGCAGGGAAGAAGAGGTGCTGGGTGGGCCCCAGGGAGCCGAGGCCGAGGGTGCGCTCCGTTGTGGAAGCTCACAAGCATTTGGAGCCAGGGTCAGGTTTCCTGCCTGAGCAGGGGGTTGGACTAGATGACCTCCAAGGTCCCTTCCAACTCTATTGTTGTTATTGTTGTTATGTGTAGGGCAGGGGTAGGCAACCTTGGCTCTTTTATGACTCGTGGACTTCAACTCCCAGAATTCCTGAGCCAGCCTGCTGGCTCAGGAATTCTGGGAGTTGAAGTCCATGAGTCATAAAAGAGCTAAGGTTGCCTACCCCGGTAGGGTTTCCTGCCTGAGCAGGGGGTTGGACTAGGTGACCTCCAAGGTCCCTTCCAACTTTATTATTATTATTATTATCTATCTTGGCCCAACTACCTCAGGGCAGTTGCCAAGAGAGGGAGGAGGGGGGGCGCAATATGGCAGGGGAGGCTGTTCCTTCAAAGCCTCCCCCCCCCCAAGGCCAGTGAGCTCTTGCTAATCTCAGTGGCCCAGCCAGGGAGCCTCAGAAGCCCCCCCCCTGAATTTCAAGGAGACCCCCCCCCCGGCTCCCTCAAGCCCTCATTGGCACCAGCGCCGGACTTGGGAGGGGCTTCTGGGGGACCCTTTCTCTTCCCCCTCCCCCAGAGCAACGATGGAGGCCCCCAGCGTTTTAGGCACTCTAATCTGGAGCTGAAACCCCCCCCCCCTTGAATCTCAAAGCTGCCAATGGCAGTCGTGGGGAAGGGGCAAGTTCTCTGGGCTGGCTGCACCCTGAAACCTTTCAAGTGCATCCTGCCCCCCCCAGACACGGGCTTTTGTGGGGAAGCTCCAGCATATGGGGGGGAGGGATGGGGGGGCAGCTGACAGCCTGCTGGAGATTGACCAGGACGCACACTTGGGGGGGGGTCCTGCCCCGCCTGCCAGCCCCCTCAATAGCCCTCTTCGCTCTCCCCCCTGCAGGATTCCAGCGCCCCATCTATCTCTTCCACAAGGGCCACCCCGGAGCCCACTGAGAAGCCTTGCGGGACCAGGAGGGCATCCCCGGCCGCCCCCCTCCTCTTTTCTCCATGTGCCACGGCTGCTTCTCCAGGGGTGGTGGGGGTCGGACTAGCCCCCCCCCCCCGGCTGAATGTTGGCGTCTTCACAAGGTAGAGGGCCAGCGAGGTACAAACCGGGCGATGGATTTTGGAGCTGCTGCCTGGCCTTACCAAAAGAGCCCTTTTTGGGGGGGGGGGCAAGAGCAGCTCTTCGGGGACCCTCCGGCAGTGCAGCCTGATGGGGGGGGGTGCAGGAACCGTGGGGAAAAGGGGGGGGGTTGAGGCACCAGCAAAGCAGCCCTGCTCAGAAGGGGGGGGGCTTGGCTGCAAGCAGAGCTTTCCCCCCCCCCCGGGAAAAAAGGATCTACCCAGGCTGATTGTGCCCCTCCCCAAGTGGGGGGGGGATAACAACTCATTCTGCTCGATCAAAGCCTGGGAGGGCCAAAGGGTGCCCCCCCCAGGGAGAATGACAACATGGCAGCTGCCGACGCCTCGTCTGGTTCCTAACTCAGCTGTATGACCATCTCTCCTCTGGAAGGGGGGGGGTGCTTCATTGGTCCTGCAGCGCTGGAGGGGCTGGGGGGGCAAGAGGCCTCCCCTCTGGAGAACGAGGCTGTCTCCAGGGGGCTCAGCTGATCTCTGTGAGGTCCCACAAGGTCCTCTGCCCAGAGCACCCCCCCTTTTTCCTTTTTTTTTTTTTTTTTGCAATGGGGAGTAAGGGTGTAACATCCACCAGGCCAGCTGCAACCCCCCCCATGAAAATGCCCCCCCTCAGCTGCCTGCTGTGTTCGGAGGGTCAAAAAGAGCCGCCCCCCAAAAAACAACCCTGTAGAAGTAAAGTGATCTTGTTTGAACGGAGTTTTATCTTTTAAAAAAAGTTGATTATATATATAAATAAAACCTACAGATTATTACCCGCTGCTGTGCCAGTCTCTGAAGGGGGGGACCAAACACGGGCGCCAAAGCAAAGCTCTGCCAATAAAATAAATCTGTCCCCTGCGTGCAGGCAGTCCTCAACTTACAACGGCTTAGCGACCGTTAACAGCGCTGGAAAAAGTGACCCGGGGCTGTTTTTCGCAGCGCCCCCCCCCTCCCGCGCGCAATCAGGCAATCAAAACGCTCAGTGACCAACTTGTATTTATGACGGGGACAAAGTCAATGGAGAAGCCAAGGTCGTAAAACGGGGCAAAAACTCACTTGCTTAGCGGTGGGAATTGTGGGCCACCCATACTTGGGGGGTCAGTCCTGGCGGCAAAGCGAAAAACCACACCATCCACCGGCAGTTACAGTTTATGTATAAAACGTCACCGGATTGGTGTGTGTGTCTCATTGTGTGTGTGAGTGTGAGAATGAGGGATGCTTGTGCGTGAACAGCCAGCTGAAGGAAGAGGCCGAAGTGCGTCTCTGGACCACCCGTCTCCGGCCTTCCTCAGCTCGCCCACTGCTGCAGCTTCCGGTACATCAGGAAGGTGGTGGCCGGGGGGCGCCTCTGGGCCTGCAGCTTCAGGGGGGGCAGCCCCCCCACCTCCAGGAAGGGGGTCTCCGTGAACAGCTCCTCTGCCCTGTAAAAGGCCATCAAGTCGGGCCCTTCGCCGGCCGCTTCCTGTAACACAGGCAAGGAATTTTGCCGGTCAAATTCGCCACCAACCGAGCCCACCTTCGCCTGCTGGATGGCGGGCAAAGCCCCTCCCCAGAGACACCCGCCGCCCCCCACCCACCGCAGGCATGTGCACCCCCCCCCCAGGTGCTGCCAGGATGGCACCCCCTGCACCAGGAACCATGAGGCCCATCACCCACCTTTCTGTCCCCGGGGTGGTGTTGGATAACGGCCAGTCTCTCCTGCCCGGCCGAGCTGAGCAGTTCGTCGGCCGGCACCTGCAGGCTGATGAGGCCCCGGTAGAGCTGCTGGTCGCGGGGAATGTTCAGCCCTGGAAGAGCAGGCAGCATGGGTGGGTGGGGGCCCAGGCAGTGGAGGGCCACTTTTTGCAAAAGGGCAAGGTGTAATGGGCTGATTTACAGGGTTAGGCAACCTTGGCTCATTTATGACTTGTGGACTTCAACTCCCAGAATTCCTGAGGCAGCCATCTGAGGGGAAAGGGAGAGGTTTCCCAAGCTGAGCCAGGCTGGCTCACGAATTCTGGGAGTTGAAGTCCGCGAGTCATGAAGGGATCATAGTTCCCCCATGCTGGCTGAGGAATTCTGGGAGTTGAAGTCCACGAGTTATTAAGGGGGCCATAGTTCCCCCATGCTGGCTCAGGAATTCTGGGAGTTGAAGTCCACAAGTCATGAAGGGGCCATAGTTCCCCCATGCTGGCTCAGGAATTCTGGGAGTTGAAGTATACCAGTCATGAAGGGATCATAGTTCCCCCCATGCTGGCTGAGGAATTCTGGGAGTTGAAGTCCGCGAGTCCTGAAGGGATCATAGTTCCCCCATGCTGGCTGAGGAATTCTGGGAGTTGAAGTCCGCGAGTCCTGAAGGGATCATAGTTCCCCCATGCTGGCTGAGGAATTCTGGGAGTTGAAGTCTATGAGTAATAAAAGCCAAGGTTGTCTACCCCTGGCCTATTACAAGCCCTGGGGGGGGCTGAAGTGCCCCAATGAGTGCAATGGACCCTCCTCCTCTAATACAGGCAGTCCTCAACTTACAAGTTTGTTTAAAGTTACAACCGCAGAGAAAAAAAGTGACTTATGACCATTTTTCACACTTGCGACTGCCAAAGCATCCCCACGTGGAGTCACGCAATCAAAATTCGGAGAATTGGCAACCGACTCACATTTAGGACTGTTGCAGCGCCCCGGGATCAAGGGATCCCCTTTTGCGACCTGTCAGTGGCGAAGCCAGATTCACTTAGCAACCAGATTGCTCAACTATTGCCATGATTCACTTAACAACCAAGGCACGGGAGGTCGGGAAACGGGGCAAAATCCACTTAACAAATGTCTCCCTTAACAACATAAATTTTGGGCTCAGCTCTGGCCGTAACTCAAGGACCACCTGTAATCCTTTAATCCAGTGTTTCTCAACCTTGACCATTTTAAGGCATGTGGACTTCAACTCCCAGAATTCCACAGCCAGCATTGCTGGCTGTGGAATTCTGGGAGTTGAAGTCCACGTGCCTTAAAATGGTCAAGGTTGAGAAACACTGCTTTAATCCAACGTTTATGGCTGCTGCCCACTCAGATTGTGCGCCTGGACTGCAACTCCCAGGGCGCCTGGTGGCCGGGCACTCTGGGAAAGCCATCACAGCCCAGCTGAGCTCCCGCCGAAAGATTTCACTGTCCCCCAGGGGCCCCCACGGAGAAGGCCCTGCTTCTCCACCCCTCCAGCTTACTCACCCTCGCCCACGTGAGCTTCCGCGGCGCCCCGAGCCACGAAGGAGCGCTGCACCAGCCGCTCCGCCGCCTGCCGGGCATCGAAGGCCCGCTCGCGCGTGGCCCGCACCTCGGCGCCCAGGGCCAGGCTGCTGTGGGGCAGCGGGGCGCCCAGCGGGCGGAGGGCGAGCGGCCCCCGGGGCTCCCTCCTCGACGTCCCGGAGGATCCCTGGTGGTCCGCGGGGGTCGGGCCGCCTTGCAGCTCCTCCTCTCTCTGCTCTGCCATCCGAAAGCGGACCTGCCAGGGGAAAAAAGACCCCCGGCGTTCTTCCACGGGAGCCCCCGGCCCGCCTCTCCGCAGGGAGCAGCCTCGCCTGGGAAGGGGTCCCGAAGGCCATCCAGTCGAGCCCGTGCGTGGGGCAGGAGTTCCAAGCGAGCCAAGAGGAGCGAGCGGAGGCTCCGTTAAGGGGAGGGGGTCCCCCCGTGCCACCCCCCACCGGGCAGCCCGATGCCCCCCCCACTCCCTTACGTGTCTGGGGCCCGTCTTCTCCTGGTGCTCCCGCCGCAGGATGCCGCCTCCCGCCCGGGCCGGCCCGTTCCGGTCCGGGGTGAGCGCCACGGCGGGGTCCGGGCTACGGCAGGGCGAGGGCGGTGGGCGCGGGGTGGGCGCCGCGCAAGGCAGACTCTCTCGGGGCGCCGCGGGAAGCGCGCCGGCCATGGCGGGAGGCAGGCGGGCCGCGAGCTCCGGGTGCCAGGTGCGCTCAGCAGCAGGGATCCCGGCTCTGGCCGCGGATTAGGGGAGCTGTAGTCCTGCAAAAAGCCTGCAAACCGCCTGCAGCGTCGCTTTCCCCGGGTGGGCGGTTTCCAGGCTCCCCCTTCGCTTGGCTTTTTTTAGGCCCGAGAGCGCTTCTCAACGGTCTTTCCCGGGTCGCGGCTCCGGGACACGCCGAGCCCCCTTTTCCGATCCTCCGCCACGCTCCGTTTCTCTTTGCCGCCGCCGCTCCGAAGCGAGAGGGCGTCGCTCCGCTTCTCGTTGCCGCCTCCGAAGTCTCGCTTCCCATCCAAGATGGCGCCCGATCTGAAAGTGCCCTATTCAAAAGCCGGGCGGGCTATAGAGTAGGCGCAGCCCAGAAGGGTTCTTTCCGCGTAGGAGAAAGGCAAAGAGCGCGCTTCCGCCACGGAGAGGCCGAATCCTAGAGCGGCATCGAGGGATGGGACGGCTTTTATGGCCGCCACGCCGAATGCCGTAAAAACGACGTCACGACAGAGGTGGGCCGAAGGGCGGGACCAGCGGGAGAAGTTTTCCGGATACGTCACGCGTCCTGGGGAAAGCTGCGCTTGCGCACTAGCGCCGGAAATGGACGGGGCGGTGTTGACTCAGCTTGGGGACGTTTTAAGGCCCGCGGACTTCAATTCCTGGGGAATTCTGGGAATTGAAGTCCGCGGGCCTTAAAAATCGCCAAGCTTGAGAACCATTGTTGATAAAGCCTATGGCAGGGGTTCTCAACCTTGGCAACTTTAAGACTTGTGGACTGGCTGAGGAATTCTGGGAGTTGAAGTCCACAAGTCTTAAAGTTGCCAAGGTTGAGAACCCCTGGCCTATGGGGATTCTCAGCCATTGTTTTAAAAGGCTCGGTTAAAGAGGAAGCGATGCAAATGCAGCTATACCGTCCCACCCTCGCCCCCCCCCAGGAATCCTTGGCGCTTTCTACTGACTCGTGGGGGGGGGAATTCCCCACCGTGCTGGTTGTGGAGCATGGGACCACAACCAGTTGGGCATCTATGCTGGGCTCTATGCCCCGGGAAGGAAGAAGGCGCTCTGGAAAGAGCTCATGGGGGAATCCCTACGCAGACAACCCCCCCCCCTCTGCAAGTCCCATCTTCCCCAGCCGGGATGCCGAAGGCGAGGAAGCCCCCGGGGGCTCGCATTCCAGCTGCGCCCCCCCTTTAAACCAGGAGCCCCCCTTTGCACAGGGCGCCCTTGGCACACGGCCTCCCCTTGCGGGGTGGGTGGGGTGGAGCAGGGGGCAGAGGGAGCCCCCGCACCCCCCCCCCCGGCTGCCAGGAAAAGCGCTTATTTCGGGGCTGCTGGATGGGGTCTCTCCCCCCCCCTTTCCCCTCCCCAGGGGAGGAAATGCCTCCGCCGCTGCCAGGCATCCTTCTGCGCGCTTATTGTTCTTCACCAACTGCAGCGGAAAGCGGGATCAAAGGGGAGCGGCGGGGAGGGGGGCGCTTGGCTGGGACTCGGGGGGTCCTCTGCCGGGAGGAAGAGGGGGGCGGGACCGATCCCGCGGCTCAGGCTTTGCCCCTCCAGTTGGCAAAGCAAACGCCCCCCGCGCCAGACAAGAAAGCACAAGACCTACTGGCGCGGGGGGGGGGGAAGGAATCTCCTTTACAAAATGGGGAGGGGGGGCGCAAATCCTACGCATTTGCAAGGTGGGGCAGAGGTTACCCCCCCCTCCTTCCCTCCCTCCCCTCCCTCCCTCCCCAGGCTTAATGCAGGCTTTGCTGGCAGGGGGATTCTGGGAATTGAAGTCCACCCTTCTCAAAGTGAAGCAACGGTGGCCAGATGGAACCGGGATCCTGAATGACGTCAGGCTGACTGGCTTCCCTAGCCCCCCCCCACATCCGCTCATCCCCCCCACACCCGCTCCCCCCCTCCGGCAGAGGCGAGCCGGGGCGCTTTCAGCGGCTGCCAAAGCAAATACGGGAGGCTGCTGGCGAGCAACGACTGCCCGGATGGGCGCAAGTCTGCGCTACCCCCGACGGTGCCCTGCGCGGGTGGGGGGGGGGGAAGGGGCGGCTTTTCTGCACCCGCTGGGGGGCTGGCGAAGCGGCTGGGCTGGCGGGATTTCCCGGGTTAAGAAACCCACCTACCCCCTCCCCCCGCCCTGGAAAACGGGGAACAAAAGATTCCCCAAGTTTGGAGAAAGACCCGCGGGCCTTGGGAGCAGGGGATAATGGGACTTGTAGTGCAATGCACCTGGACACGGGGAGGGGGAGATAGAGGGAGGAAGGGAGGTCCGGAGGAGGAGGAGGAGGGGGCGCCTCTGTGAAGGGGGGACGCGATCTGCGTTTCATCCCATTGTCTAGCCCCCCCTCCCTTTCCCCCCCCACCCGAAGGGAGCTGGCGGGGGTCCTCGTTGGCGCCTTCACAGCCACAGCAGCCCCCCCCTCCCTCTTTCCCCAAATCCATTTGCCAACTTTTGCTGGGGGGGGGTCTCGTAAGTATCACTGCAGAGAAAAGATAAATGGAGATATTCCAAACACGCAGAGATGGCAGACAGATGAGGAACATCTGGGCAGACGTGTCGGGGAGCTCCCCCCCCATCCAGTTCCTCCCCTCAGTGCCCCCCCTATTCTGTATCTCATCCCATCTCCGGCTGCAGGCAAAACATTTATTGGGGTGTTGGGAGGGGAGGGGCTCAGCCTAATTCAAACCAGGTTGGCTTGTACAGAGCCCGCCAGTTAGCCAGCCCGGGACCCCCATTTGTCTCCCCCCAGCACTCTCGGTCTGGAATCAATTTGGAGGCAGCTGCAGCAACTCTTGTCCAGGCCCGCCAGGCGCCCGTTGGGTGCTGCTGTCCGTGGGGCAGGTCCCTCCTGGTGAGGGGGGAGAGGGGGGCTGCAACCTGCAGCAAAATGGACCAACCAGAGGAAAACTTTCCCGGAAGGCTGAGAAAAAGGGCGGGCGGGAGGGCAAAGCACCTTGTATAAGGGAGTCCTCGGCTTACGACCACAGTTGCTAAACGAGACATTTCTGAAGAGAGCTTGGCCCCATTTGACGACTTCTCCCCTCACGTTTGCACACGGAATCGCTGTGCTTGTTGAGCCGGTTCACACGGTCGTTAAGTGAATCCGGCTCCTCCCCGTATGACTTTGCTTGTTGGAAGGTCGCAAAAGGGGGATCACGTGACCCCCCCCCGCAACTGTCATAAATACGAGTCAGTTGCCAAGTGTCCGAATTTTGAGCGCAGGGACGCTGCAACGGTCTGAAAAAGAAGTCCAAAAATCAGTCACATTTTTCACTGCCATTGTCATTTTCAACGGTCACTAAATAACCATCGTAAGTCGAGGACTACCCGGGTACAACCCAGGCCAGCATTTTCGTTGCTGAGCAAGGTGTTCAGGGAGCCGTGCCCAATTTTACGTCCTCTTCTTGCCCCGGTCGTTCAGGGAACGGCTGCCGTTGTTAAATGAATCACACGGTCGTTAAGCGAATTCCCCTATCGACTTTGCTTGTTGGAAGCGGGCTGGGAAGGTCTCAAATAGTGACCACCTGACCCCGGGATGCTGCGACCATCATAAGTGCGAGGAACGGTTGTAAACCATTTTTTTTTCATGCTGTTATGTGGAACGGTTCCTAAATAAATGGTCGTAAACCGAGGACTACTACATAGTTCCGACACTTGCAGCGTCTCTTGGGTCAGAAGGCCAAAACGGGGGGGTGGACAACCAGATCACATGACCTTCTTGGTGTTTAACTGTCCTCCCAGAACCCTACCGGGGTGACCCCCTCCTCCTTTCGCAGGACTGGCAGATGTCCCGAGACCCCTTGCCAGCTTTGAAATCCTCCAGGTCTTCTTTTGATGCTGTTGCAGGTGGGGACATTCTGAACATGCTCAGAGACACTCTTTGTTAACCTCATTTCAGTGCGTGGGGTGTGTGTGTCTATCCTTGACCACTTTAAGACCTGTGGACTTCAACTCCCAGAATTCCCCACCAGCCGGGTGGACTTCAACTCCCAGAATTCCCCATCAGCCGCATGGACTTCAACTCCCAGAATTCCCCAGCCAGCCGGGTGGACTTCAACTCCCAGAATTCCCCACCAGCCGCGTGGACTTCAACTCCCAGAATTCCCCACCAGCCGCGTGGACTTCAACTCCCAGAATTCCCCACCAGCCACGTGGACTTCAACTCCCAGAATTCCCCACCAGCCGCGTGGACTTCAACTCCCAGAATTCCCCACCAGCTGCGTGGACTTCAACTCTCAGAATTCCCCAGCCAGCCGCGTGGTCTTCAACTCCCAGAATTCCCTGGGAGTTGAAGTCCACAGATCTTAAAGGGGCCAAGCTGGGGTCTCCTTGCTCTAATCTAGGTAAAGACCCCCCCCAAGTCTTTTCGCCATGATTCAACAACAAAGCACCCGCCCTCTACAATGCCGCCATGGGTCAGCCCCTGGAAGGAATCCCAGCCTACTTGGGGGGCTCCCACCAGCCCCACAGCGGGTGATGGAGGCTTCCAGACCAAGCCCGTCCCTTCTGTTTCCTGCCCCGAGCCTGACCTCCAAGGAGGGGGGGGCGGGTATCTGCAGCTGGCCAGAGAGATAACCCCGATCCGGCTATGGGGCATACAAGTTCCCGGCCTGCCGACTTTCCATCATGTTTGTATCCGGATATATTATTCCAGGGGGTGGATTCTGGGAGAGGTGGAAGCAAATATAACCGTGAATTAATTGAGAAAGGAAGAGCTCAAGTGGCTGTAGGCAGAACGGAGTGTTTCTGAGCTGGTACAGAGTGCAGTCGGTACAGAAAGAGGATGTCTTTCCAGATTTTATTTATTCGTTTAACAGCTGGGTGACTTTAAGACCTGTGGACTTCGACTTCCAGAATTCCCCAGTTAGCACAGCCGGGAATTCTGGGAGTTGAAGTCCACAAGTCTTTCAAGGGGCCTGCCCTAGAGCCCCACCCCGCTCTCTTGGTTTTCCCAAAGGCCCTAGAGGTGCGGCTTTGTCTGTGGGCCTGGGGATCCTGAATGGAGACGGGAGCCGATCCAGGGGCTGATTTGATTGTGTTGCTTGTGCCAAGGGGCCTGCGTTTGTGTGTGAAGCGTTTCTATATTGTGGGATTTAATGTTGTGAGCTGCCTGGTGCCACCTAATGCAAACTGGGTGACCACATACATTTGCTTGATCAATAAATATATGTGTGTGTGTGTGTTTGTGTGTATGTATTATGTACATGTATGTATAAAATATATGGACAATAAAATATACTATACTATATATATATATATATATAGTATATTTTATTGTCCATATATTTATTGTCCATATATATTTTTATATATATATATATATATATATATATATATATATATATATATATATATATATATAAAACATTTGTAAAATTCTGTTTTCACTTTGTCATATGGTCCTGAGTGTAGATTAACGAGAAAAAAATGAATTTCAACAACTGTAGAATCAAGCTGCAGCATAACAAAATTGACAAAAGGGGGTCTGAATACTTTCTGAATGCACTGAGTGAGTGTGTGTGTGTGTGGATTGTGTGGAGAGAGAGAGGATCAATATGGGTGTATATGTAGGTGTATATATATGTCTGTGTATGTGTGTGTACATGTGTGTGTGCATGTGTGTTTGTGTTTATATATATATATGTGTGTATGTGTGCGTGTGTGTGCATGTGTGTGTATATGTGTATATATATATATGTACATGTATGTATGTGTGTGTATGTATATATATACATATGTGTGTGTATATATATATATGTATATATGTGTGTGTGTATATATATATATATATGTATGTGTGTGTATGTGTATATATATATACATATGCTGATGCGCTACTTAAACATATTTCTGTTTGTATGTTTAATATGTTTTACTACTGTTGCATATCAGTGACCTCCATAGACAGTATCAGCTAAATAAATAAATAAATAAATAAATAAATAAATAATGCCCATTCAGATTTATTTATTTTTATTTTATCGACTCGCCCCATCAGGGGCTCAGCCTGTGCTCCTGGGTGCAGGGCCTGGCCCAGCCTGCCTCGGAGTCATCCTCCTTCCCCGTTGGCTGAAGTGAAGAGCGGCTGTGCTCCGAGGGGGGGGGGCATGTTGCTTCTAATCTAACCGGATCAGCCCCCTCCCAACCGTTTCCCCCCTCTCTAATCTTGCACAGCTGAGCAATGCAGGCCGAAATTCAACAGGTGAAGGCTTCCTTCCTTCCACCTGCCAAGTGTGAACTTTGGATTTCTGGGCTGACCGGCACCTGCTTGGGGGGGGGTCCACTGCACAGGGCCACAGGCAGACACATTGGGAGGGCGCTTTCTCAAAATGGTACCCCTGCAAGGCTGCTGAGATGGGCAGAAGGAAAACTGGGCTGAATTTGAATCTGAGACCCATGAAGAAAGGGCTAGGATGGGCCAGGGACTTGCAGCCACACTGATTCTCACAGGAACGACTGGTTGGCCTCAGGATGCACCCCCCCCCCGCCAGCGTTTGGGCTCTCTAAAGCTGCAGACGGAGCTCCCACCCCACCTCCAGTGGCAGGAAGTTCCGCGGGTCTCCTGTCTTCTCGCTTTACCGCGGAGCCCGGCTTCTGCCAGCAGAGACAGCGCCGGCCCCCTCCCCGCCCGGGCGGCTTTCCGGCCCCCTCTCCTCTCGCGGAAAGGGCCGGGCGGCTTCATCAGGACGGCCGGAGCCAGGCAGGAAGCCGCGGGAGTTCAGCCTCGCCCAGGTCACCGCTGCCCAGCCCCCCCCCCCTGGCCCTGATGTCGGATTCTCACGGCCATCCGCCCCCACCACAACCCAGGGCCAGCTTGCTTCGCCCCCCGCGTGGACTTGAGCCCAAAACCCCGCAGGAGGCACTCAGGACACGCGCACGCTTTCTTAGTCCGGCTCGCGGGTTTAGCGTGTCGTGGGAACGCAGCCGCTGCAGCGCTCAAAACCCCTCAATGCTGGGAGCGGTCGCGTTTCTCCTCTCGTTTGATTTTTTTAGCAGGCTCCCCACGGTCTCCTGTTACCCCCCCCCCCCTCAAGTCCCCAGCCATGGGTCCAGCACCATGGGTCCATGATGGCCAGCTGGCTTGGCAGCCCCTCCCCAGGTTCCGTCCCGGCTGCAGGGCCTCCTCCGCGGCAGCCCCGCCCTGGCGCCCGGGAGGCTGGCTGCGGGTAATCTGTGCTTAGTTTCCCCCGGTCGTCAGAAAGAAATAAAGCACGGTTCCCTCCTTCCCTCCCCCCCCCCCCCCGAGAGCCGGGCAGTGGACTTCACTTCTTGACTGACCCGCTTTCACCACCAGGGTGCACTTTCCTGGCCTTCCCGACTGACGTTCAAAATGCCCGTGAACCTAGTTCAGGTCCCGGGAACGTCGGAGTGCGGCAAAGGCTGGGAGAACCGCCCTTTCAGCTCTCGATGCCTGGAACCTGCCTCCAGTCCAGACGATAAATAAATCTCTTGGGCCCTCAACCTTCGTGGCTTGAGCTGGAGGCCTGTGGCGCGTTCACACGTTCCTTCAGAATTGTTCCTCGCGTGTCTCGGCCGGCTAATCCTCCGCCGCGAGGACCCTCCAGTTTGGCCCCAGCCGGCCGCTGAAAAACACCCGCCCTTCCTCTCCTGGTCTCGGGGCGGCGGAGACGGGACAACCCCCCCCCACCGCAGTCGGGACCCCGCGCTCCTGCCCCACGTCCTTGGGGCACGTGGGGAGCAGCTGAGCCCTTCGGCCACCCTTGGTGCTTTGGGGGGGGGAGGGGGTTTGGGCCCCCCTTCCGGGGGCTTCTTAGATACAGGCGGGTGAAACCCCCCCCCCCGAGTTTGTGGGCCACAATCAAGACCCCCCCCCTTTGGGGCTTGCAAACTTTGGGGAGGGGGCGTGCCTTTGCGGGGGGAGCGCCCCTCGCTTGCACGGCTAAGAAAAAAGGGGGGGCACTTTGGGGGGGGTGCTGCTTGCAGGCGGAAGCCCCCTCCTCCCCCATCCTTTGGAGTGAAAAGCTGAGCTTTTCCCGGTCCCACAAACTTGGGGGGAGTTCTAGACTTGGAAAAACGACCCCCTCCCCAGGTCTGGCCGGGAGAAAGCGCGCGGGGGTGGGCAGGCTTGGGGGCCGCCCCTCCCTCTCCGGGCTGGGAGGGAGGAGGAAGAGGAGGAGGAGGGTCTGCCCGCTCGGTGGGGCTGGAGGTGGGGCGCCGCTTTCCCCTCCCCTCCCCCCTCCCCCTCTTTTTTCCAGGGGAGGGGAAAGTTTCGGGGAGACCAGGCCGAGCTGGGGGGGGCCTCCTGGGCGCCCTAAAACCCTCACCCGGATCCACTTTTTCGGGGGGCGCCCCACTTCTTCCATCTCCCCCCCCCACACACAAGCCCCCTCGGGGGTGGGGGGCGGCTGGCGCTGGCCCAACCCCGCCAGACTCCGCCACCGCCGCCGCGCCGCCTTTGTCCGACGCCGCTCGCTCGTTCCCAGCGCTGCCATTCCGGACTTTCAGGTTTGCAGAAACGGCCCCAGCCCGGATCGCAGACACGGGACTCTTTGTCTCGGCCCGGGACGGACGGACGGATCGCGCTCCTCGCCCACCCCGCCCGGCAGAAGCCCCCCGCCCGCGCCGGGAAACTTAACCGGGACGGGGGTCCCCCCCACTCCTTCTGCTGGTGGTGGTGGGGGGAAGACCCTTCCTCCCCTCCGCGGGGCCTGGGGGAGAGACCGCGGACCCCCGGGCGGAGCGGGGGGGTCGCCCCAGAGCCCCCTCCCCCGCCGGGGCAGCGGAGGCGCGTCTGAGCCGCGGGGCGGGGGTCTCCGTTCCACCTGAGAGCCTCCGCCGGGGCCGGGGGTCTCCGCATCCTCCACCCCCCCCGCTCCTCTCCTTTCACCCAGGAGGATCCCGGACGGATTTCCCCCCCCCTCTTTGTATCGGATTACCGTATGGTTTTTATTTTTATTTTTGTGCTTTTTTTTTTCCGCCAAGACTTGGATTACCCGGGATTGTTTGTTTGTTTGTTTGGGGCCTCCGCCGCTCCTGGTTTGTTTCCCCCCCCCTGCATGAAGGTTCGGGGCCGCCGGGGCGATGAAGCGCTGGTGGCCCCTCTGGGTCCGGATTTGCCTGGTGCTGGCGGTGGAAGGTAAGTCTTTGACCGGGGGGGGGGCCGCGATGGCGCGGCGGGGCCGACGGATTCCTTGGCAGAAAGTTTGGGGGAAACTTTTTGCATGCACACACACACACACACACACACGCACGCAGAGAGAGACAGAGGCAGACGCGCGCGCGTGGAATGTGGGGGGGCGACTGATGAATGGGGGGGCATAAGAGTTATAATTCCCAGCCCCCCAAGGAGGGAACTATCCAGGGCCTCTCTCCCCCAGAAAGGGTGTGGGGGGGGTCTCTGGAATTTGGCAGACTCCAGCCCTGCAGAGGACACCTTGCTTTCTTCTCTTCCCCCCCATCTTTGCTCTCCCCCCCCGTTCTATTTTTGACTGTTCAAAGTGTTTATAGACTCTTGCATTGATTGCGCTAATGAAGCGGGATCGATGCTCTTTTTCTGGTATCCAGCAGGATCGGTTGCTGACCCCCCCCGCCCCCCAGGAAAAGGGCAACGATTTGCAATAGGGCTTTCATCTCCCGATCCCTCCCTGTCAGGGTCCCCACCCCCTTCCCCAATAGCTCTCTGTTCTTTTCCTAACACACACACACACAGAGAGACATACACACAAAACTATCACACCCTTGAATATATGTATATTTTTTCCCCTGGGCGGCTTCCTTGCTTTAAAAGTGAAATTGCTTCTGAACTTCTCTGCAAGGGACAGGCCGAGTCCCGCTGGTCTCCAGAGCTGTTTTAGGATGCCCTAGGTTGGGGATGATGGGCCCTGGGACGCGGAGGGCTGGGCCCCTTGTGGGGGCCAGAAGAGCTGGGGGGCCAGAAGCCCATTGCGGGAAAGCGGGCACCTTAACTCAAGGAGTGCCAAGGTGTTTTGGAGGCTGGGGTCTGTTGGAAACAGCTGGTGGGCTAGGGTGTGTGTGTGTGTGTGTGTGTATGAGAGAGGGAGGGGGAAAAGAGGAAGGAGGGAGAGGAAGAGAAGGAGAGAGAGAGAAAAAAGAAAGAAAGAAAGAAAGAAAGAAAGAAAGAAAGAAAGAAAGAAAGAAAGAAAGAAAGAAAGAAAGAAAGAAAGAAAGAAAGAAAGAAAGAAAGTTGTGTTTGGCCAGTGCTGGAAAAGGACCTCTGGATGCAGCCCTCATTGAAACTAGCAGCTGCCAGATCAACCCACAACAATGGCCATCATTCCCCAATAATACACACACACACACACACACACAAACACACAAACACACAAAAACACAGAAAGGACTGGGGCCTTGGGGAAGCCTTTTAGGTTTGGACTTTTATGTTTGCAATTCTTTATGTTTGCAATTCCCAACTGCTTTGATGGGAGGGATCCTCTGCATTCTCCCCTTTTTCACCGGGCACCCCAGTTTTTCCCCTTCCTTCCTTCCTTCCTCCCTCCCTCCCTCCCTCCCTCCCTTTTCTATATCTTCCTTCCTTCCTTCCCCATTCTCTCCCTCCCTCCCTCTTCTATATCTTTTTCCTTCCTTCTTTTCTTCCTTCCTTCCTCATTCCCTCCCTCCCTCCCTTTTCTATATCTTCCTTCCTTTCTTCCTTCCTTCCTTCCTTCCTCCCTCCCTCCCTTTTCTATATCTTCCTTCCTTCCTTCCTTCCTTCCTTCTTTCCTCATTCCCTCCCTCCCTCCCTTTTCTATATCTTCTTCCTTCTTTCCTTCCTTCCTTCCTCATTCCCTCCCTCCCTCCCTTTTCTATATCTTCCTTCCCTCCCTCCCCAAATTTTCTATATCTTCCTTCCTTCGTTCCTTCCTTCCTTCCTCATTCCCTCCCTCCCTCCCTTTTCTATATCTTCCTTCCTTCCTTCTTCCTCCCTTCCTCCCCTCCTTCCCCCCACCAGTCCCAGGGGGCGTCTGCAGGAGAATCTCATTGAAAAGGGATTAAGAGAAGACTTGAGAGGAAAAAAAAAACGCTTCCCCCCTTTTCTTTTCTTCTCCACCCCCAGACAGAAAAAGGAGGAAAAGGGAGAAAGACCCTTTGCCCCCCACCCCCTAAGCTGGACTAGAGCTCCCCCCTTTAGCCAAGGGGGGCCTTGACTTGCCAATTGTAAACTTACCTCCTTCCCTCCCGCCCCCCCCCCGTCCATTCTATGTCCACCTGAACTCCCTCTTGGGGGGGGGTCACATCTCCCCCAAAACTGCGAAGGGCCGCTGGATATCAGATCCAGCCCCAGGGGGGAGAGGGCCATTCAGAAGCCCCTTCCCCATTCCAGGGTCCAGCTTGTGGCTTGTCTGAACTGCTGCATGGGGAGGAGAGTCTGGCTGGGGCTTTGCCCCCCCCCCCCGCCCAAGACCTGGCACTCGGGCACCCCCTCCTTGCCAAACTGCCAAGCCCCCTCCCCACCCTGCACAGACCCCTGGCTACCGGATCCTGAAGGCCCCCTACCCATTTTTTTTAAGCTGCCCTTTCCTTTGCGGATTGCCGACTTCAAGAGAGGCTGCTGTGTTGGGACCAGGCCTGTGGGCTGGGGATGATGGTATCGCGGCCTGTTGCTCCGCGGAGGGCTGGGGTGGGGGGCATAACCCTGTGTCACCATGCGGGGAGGGGGCTCCCCTCCTTGTCTCCAGCCAGAGGCCCTGCGATCCCATCGTCCTGGGCCCTCAAATGTTGGGCAGACCATCAATCACGATCCCCATATTGCTAGTGGAGTATCGGGGTGCGTACAGGTAGTCTTTGGCTTAACGACGGTTCCTTTAGTGACCGTTCAAAGTTACAACGCTTTTCACACTTAACGGCCGTTGCAGCACCCTTCCCCAGGGTCATGTGATTACGCTGGGCATCTGATTCGTATTTATGACGGTCGCAGCATCCTGGGGTCACTGGGGAAGCCGGATTCACTTAACAGCCGTGTTACTCGCTTAGCATCCACAGTGATTTATTTAACAAAGTGGCAAGGAAGGTGGTGTAAATGGGGCAAAATTCACTTATCCACTGTCTAGCTTAGCGACAGAAATTTTGAGCTGGGTTGTGGACGTAAGTCGAGGACCACCTTTACTTGAACGGCCTGTGGCCGCAGGGAAGGCCTCCCCAGGGTCACTCGGCCCCTTTCCTTCTGGGGCCCAGCCTCCCACCAGCGTCTCTTGACACCCCCCCCCCAGTTCAGCTACTAGGATTCCCTACGCCAGGGGTCCTCAGACTGGGCCACTCGAAGACTTGTGGACTTCAACTCCCAGAATTCCCCAGCCAGCATGGCTGGCTGAGGGATTCTGGGAGTTGAGATCCACCCGTCTTAAAGTTGCATGGCTGGCTGGGAGATTCTGGCAGTTGAAGTCCACCCATCTTAAAGTTGCACAGCTGGCTGGGGGATTCTGGGAGTTGAAGTCCACCCATCTTAAAGTTGCACGGCTGGCTGGGGGATTCTGGGAGTTGAAGTCCACCCGTCTTATAGTTGCACGGCTGGCTGGGGGATTCTGGGAGTTGAAGTCCACCCGTCTTAAAGTTGCACAGCTGGCTGGGGGATTCTGGGAGTTGAAGTCCACCCGTCTTAAAGTTGCACGGCTGGCTGGGGGATTCTGGGAGTTGAAGTCCACCCGTCTTAAAGTTACACGATTGGCTAGAGAATTCTGGGAGTTGAAGTCCACCTGTCTTATAGTTGCACGGCTGGCTGGGGGATTCTGGGAGTTGAAGTCCACCCATCTTAAAGTGGCCAGGTTTGAGGACCCCTGGGCTAGGCCGTTGCTTCCTTCTTTATTAGATTGGCCTACAGGTAGTCCTTGCGTTACAGCCATTCGTTTAACGACTGTTTGAAGTTATGGCGCTGCTAAGCGAAGTGACTCACGACCAGTCCTCACATTTACAACAATCAGAGCCTCCCTGCGTTTGTATAACGGCCAATCAAACTCACGACGGTGCTTGGAGGAAGCGATTCACGACCAGTCCTCACAGTTATGACACTGTTCTACTCTAAAATGTGCCTGGAATGGCATTCTCGTGGGGTTGAGGATGATGGGCAGCAGGGTTATCTCAGAGAATCCTGGTCCCACGGAAGGCCCCGTGAGCTTCCAGGGGTCCTGAGAACAGCCGAGACCCCGAGGGGCCTTTGAAGGCAGCCTTGCAGCCGCTTCAAAAGGCAGCAGCCGTCGGCTTCCACTTTTGAGCTGGCGGTAATCCCTCTGCTCCTGGGGGGGGGGATGCGGCCGTGCTCTATCAAAGGCCGAATCCCCCTCCCCACTGCAACACCCCTCCTTCTTTGCAGCTCATCGCTTCGCATGGCTGCTTTCCACGGGCTCCCCAGGCTTGCAAAGGTTGGGAGAGGAGACGAGCTTCTTCAACTGGGCTCCTGCAGGCTTTGGGGATGGGGTGGGGGTCCCGGAGGGGGGGTCGTCAAGCTGGCTAGCAAAGTTGGGGGGGCTGAGAGCACCGGTTGAGTCTGCTCTGCAGCTAGGAGAAGCAAAGTGGATCAATCGTTGTAAATGGAACCCAGGACCGCCGAGACCTGTTCCCAGACCCGGGGACCGGCATGAGGGGTGGGGTCTCCAGCTTGGGGGCGGGGGTCTTGTTTTTGGCTCATCCAGAATGTTGCTAGGCTACCTTTATTGCATGCTTTGATGGGGTAACTAATAGATGGTGGGAATGCGGTCGATGTACTATATCTTTTTTTTTTATTATGCATTTTTTTATTGAAAATTTTTTAAAAGTTTTACAAAAAACAAAAAAAACAACAACAAAAAATAAAACAACCCTCCCCCAAACCCTCCCAAACCACCCCCCTCCATCCCCCCCCCCCCGAGCTTCCCAGAGCTGAATATAGGCTTAATTAAAATTTTAAAAATTCTAAAAAAAATTAATCAACTTATAAGGTAATTAACAATAAAATATATATAACAATAAAAATATATACATTAAAAAAATACTTAGAAAAGAAAGAAAAAGAAAGAAAAAAAGAAATAAAGGAAAAGAAAAGAAAGAAAGAATACAATCTATAAAATATCAAATTTAAATACAAGTTATGAAAAAGCGAAATGGTATTTTTTTATAGCCAATTTATATTGTATGAAATTTATCCAT